ATTACTTATATTTTTTTCTTAATGTTAATAATTATTTATCTAATTTAAATTTATTTATTTTGAGACCGTTGGATTCTTTATATAATCACTTACATAAATTTAAAAATTTTAAGTTCTATATAAATGTTGTACTATAATATTTTTATTAATAAAGGTAAAAAAAAACATCGAACATTTTCAATTTTCTTATGTAAATTATTGTCTTATTAGTAATACTCTTGATTACTCGATTTTTGTATTTTGGTTTATCCCTTTTAACCAATAACCTTAGAAATGCTAGGTGCAATAATTGATAACAGGTATAATTAGTAATTACTATAGAATTATAACTAAACTGACTTTAATTTTCTCAACAATGTTGGTTATAACCTATACAAAATATTTAATATATATTTGTACATTATATGCATATTTTAAAATTTGGATTTTACGGAAATCTCAAAAATTCCGTTTATAAATTATGTATTAAAATTTACTGTGACAGTAGTTCTTTAATATACTACTCTCCAGTAATGATCAATATGAATCATATTAAAAACATCAAATAACAAATAAATGTTTTTTTTTCCGATTATAAATTAAAATAAAATTTATTTTATCCAAATATGTTTTGATAAAGATATACTTATTTGATTCCATCACGTTTAAATTTTAATGCCTTTTTTTATATAAAAGTTGTAATTTTTTAACATGATTTTAATACAATTAAAAAAGGTTGACTCAATCTTGCACAATCTATAATGGGTAGAATGTGAATGAATCATGTAATTTATGTATTTTTTCTAATTTCGAGGTTAACTAAATGTTTGTAAAACTGTTAATATAACGACCTTGATTATGTAAAAATCTTTCTAATTTTTGTATACCATTTTAAAATATACAAAAAAAGCTTAATTTAATTTTTTATTGTGTTTGAAAAATTGAATTTATTTTTAATTATGAAATATTGATACAGATAAATTAAATCTGTTTAACTTAAACAAATAATTTTATCTAACTTACAAATGTAAACTAAGGATATCGATTAAATACATTATCTAATCCAATGTGAATGTATAATAAGTTATACCATGATATATTATATTATACCTATATTCTTATACCTACGTACATTTTAATGATTCACTTATACATTTTATATTTAAACATAACGTAACATTATCTATAAAAGTAACTGATTTAATAATTTAATATGAAATAATAGTAGGTGTATATTAAAAATTTAGCTTTATAAATATATATTCTATAAAATAATTAAGAATAATATTTAAGTAAATTAAGAAAATTAAAGAAATATTATTCATTAAAAAGAACAGACTAATATTTTTTAACTTTTTTTAATAATTGAATTAGAAAACTTGCGCTGTAATTATAGTTATCATATCTATTAGAAATACCAATTTAATCTATCTATGATATAAGTCTAAAAGTAATTTTATTATCTACACAGGGGTACTAGGTAGGTAATAAAACGCTGAATGTATATTTAAATACCTAATCCTAATTTTCAAAATTATAAACATTTATTATTTTTATTGAAGTTATAAATGTTTTGTACTTGTATAATATGTGAATGGTAAACGCCATAAATTTGAAATCTGGAAACTTACTGGTTACACATTTAACGTGTACCACTTTTATTATGTCAGTAAAATATAACTAATTAAAGTATAGTGGCAATGCTTGCGTTTTTTCAAAAAATAATAATTTATTTATTAGTGATGAACTAGTTTCTGCGCCCATGGCACCCAACCACTACCTGCAAAACTGTTTCATTTAACTGGTGATTACGTTAAAATAGAATGGAAGGGAGTGAATTATTGGTAGGGTTATGAATTCAGCTCAAAAAACAGAGACAAGTTCGAGAAAACGTTCATACCCATCCTTTGAAAATTTGGAAAAACAAAAATTTATTACTGATAGTGGCGTGCCATATACGACGTGTGTATAAAATAATAATGCGTCGGCGGCCGTGTGTGAATGTTCCGCCACCGCCGCAGATCGTGTCGAGGAGAAAAAATAGTGTAAATGCCGTTACCGGTACCAATCGATCGCGGCGTGCTCACGACTCACACAGCGTTGCCGGATTGCGCACAATTACGCGAGTCCGCCACTGTTCGAAATTTCCGGCAGAGTACCCGCGGCGACGGTGGCGGCGCTGCCCAAACGGCAAGCACAACTATTGCTCCGCGACGGGCGCTTTATGGGTCGGCCCCTGGGGACAGCGGCGGGGATGACACTCGCTCGAGCTCGGGGCCACTTAATATAGTGCCATTTTCAATTCCGTAGACTTAAGATCCCCCCCCTCGCGTTCACTCTAAAGCGCACGCGCGCCAACATATCTCCCCCTGTGCCCTCCCTATGTTTGTCGCCGGCGGTGATAATAATAATAATTTATACAAATTTCAAATAGTTCCGTCATGATGTCGGAACTGGGGTTTTCCGTGTACAATATAAAAGATGCGAGCTTTTTAACGATGCGTGCCCTTAATAGTCTTATACTCAAAATTTTAAATATTGGAAGCTTTCATTTTGTAGTCTACCTCTTGAGCGAGCTCCCTTTAATAGTTTCTACGACAGTGATCATAACTTCGATTCAAAGTTTGAGCTCAATAAAAGAATAAATCTTCAATTAGCACTAACTGATCCGCGTTTGTTCATATGAAAAAAGTAAATCATTGTGTGTTATCTTTGGTTTTTGATCTCAATTACAATTATTACGGAAATCACATGCTTTATTGTCGACTGACGCGTTATTTATTATTATACTAATAACCTATATTTTATTATTAAGAAAACAATCAAAATTATTCATCAGTTACCTATTATTATTCGGTTACGCCGAATTAATTTCATTCTATGCTTTTTAACGATAATATCGATTGTAATTTGTTATTTATTTATTCGCCAATTTTCACACTTTTCTAATAATATGACCACAACTGAATTTGTTTACTATCTATTAAACGAAAAGCCTAGCCGCCGAGTATCATGACAAACGATTTTATTTTTAAATATTCGTTACTTCTTACTCTATATATGTTATCGAAATAGAGAGGATGCTAATATATCATTCCTGTTAATTTATTTTATTTAGAAAATACAATAACCCTTACATAGTTACATATATTTTATATATGTGTAGAAAATCATAAAAACTATTAATTCTATTTTTTTTAAATCTTTTTATGACATTTTGATATTGTAAAATTCCAAAAAATCACATTCAATTATAATGCAACAAATGAAATTGTATACAATATTATGTTTTGCATACCTAGAATTTTAATGTAATATGTTTAAATACAATTTTTTGATAAGCTACCTTAAAATTTAATTTAGAGCGTTTTTAAATAATTTTTATTTGTTTCTTGTAGAATTAATTACTATAAACATTCACACAAATATTTAGTATACAAACAAAAGATTCTTTTTTTATGTATTAAATAAATTTAAACTATCTTTACATCAAACTATATGAATAATTGATAAAATAAAAATGTATTTTTTTTCTTTGACATTTAAAATTAAAATTTGAGTAATATTTAAGGTCACGCATTTTCGCCTTTTTTTATGTTTTAAAATATTAAAGTTAAATTAAAATTGGTTATAACTTATATGTATAAGATATCTAATGGTCATTATCTCTGATAAACTATAATTTAAATTTGTATTTAAAATACACTCTTCAATTAATCGTTATTTTTGATGATTTTATAATATTTATGTTAAAATTAATATTAAACTTAATATTTAATTACAATTAATAATTTATTTTATACCTAAGGCTCATTTTTTCACACATTAGTTTCTTTTTAGCACACTATGTATTCGTTTTGCATGACAAACTCTCTCTTTTCCAATTATGGTCATCATCTAAACATTTACCTCACTACATGACATATTTGTTAATTATTTGTTTTACATTTTTTTTTTTTTTTTACTGCCCTTCTAATAAATTATTAAATCTCATAAATGATCTTTGTATAAAAATTAAAATTATGTAAATAATAAATGTGGTGCATATTGTATAATAATACTTACAAAATGTATAATACCTTCTTTACAATCAGTAGTTTATTCAAAAATACTACTTATTTTTAAAGTATCTGCAGCTCAACATAAACAATTGTAATTGGGTATTACATTTATTTTTAATCTAGCCTAATAATTTACATGATTCCGACTCGTGAACTCACAATATTATCATTAAGTATAAATCTATAGATAATATTAAATCAATTATTTTTTTAAATTATGTTAATAGATATTATGACTATAATTTAACATCACAAAATGATATTTTCCAAAACATGATTACTCTAATTTATCTGATTCAATTTATAAAAAATATTTAATACTTAGTGTTTTTTATAGCATTATACAACAACATAACTAGGTAATAACAAATTAAAAGAGTCAAGCAGCAATCTAATTACTTTTCAGGAGGAATATGATTTTAACTTTAGCATTAGGATTCAATCTATTTAAAGGCTTTAGGAATGATGTTAATAATGTATATAAAATATTTATATTAATATTCCATATTAGGTTACCTAAATAGCCTATACTCTATAACAATATTTATTTGAAAACTAACTTTGGTAAAATTATTATGCCTATATTTTAGTTCAAAAATAAATTAAATTATTGAGGATAAAAATTAAAATTAGAAGTACCCAATAAATGTTTTTTTGTCTATCTTATTTTGTTCAGTAAATATCTTTTGAAATAAAAGGTTAATTGTGTTAACTGTATGAAAAATTGATAGGTTACATAATAGATGCCAAGTGCAATGTATTCATCGATTAGCTTATACCAAACAAATAAATTAAGTATGTTTTTATAAAATAACCGTATGAACTCTAGTGTTTGTGCATTCAAAAGTTTAAACCATTGATAATCATATATATTTACTTTTTACTAGTCTATATTATATTTAATATAATATTATTAGTTCACATTTAATTTAATATTATAACTAATGTTTTTTTGCTTAGGTACTGGTGAATCAGGGAAATCCACATTTATCAAACAAATGCGGATTATCCATGGTTCTGGTTACTCCGACGAAGACAAAAGAGGGTTCATCAAACTAGTATACCAAAATATATTCATGGCCATGCAGAGTATGATCAGGGCCATGGACATGCTCAAAATACATTACTCTGATCCATCATGTTCTGTAAGTTATTACTAATTGACATGACACCAAATTTTTAGTTTAAAAAGTTAAAAAGAAGTAACTACTCAATTTTTATATTTTTACTCATAATATATATTCAGTGTTGTTGGTTTGTAAATATATACTAAATTGTCTTTTATTTTAATCAAATTAATTTACTTAATATGTAATTATGATAAATATCATTTTCCAAGTATATATATTTTTTTTATTGATAATAATAATAGACTAATTAATAGACTTTTTACATTTAAACTATCTTAAATCTTAATGTTTTTCCACAAAGTACATTCATTTTCTACTAACTTAGTATTACTAGGAAACTCAAATCAATTATATTTATGTTATATTCTTTTCTCATGTTAATTTCTATCTTTAACAATTTTTACTTTACTTTTACTGATATTTGATGTGTTAGTACATGATAAGCTAACTTTTATGTATTTAACTAATACTATGAATCATTATTATGCCTTACTGAAGATCCAGAGTATAAAATAGATTCATCTTTTGTACCAACTCCAAATTTGTTTTATCTAAATTAACATAATCATTAATTATAAATACCTAACAATAATTAAAATTATAACTAATATACTGTCAACATCGTTCAAACATTATTGAAATTAAATCTCTCTTAAAGTATTATTACATTTCTGTATGGTTATAAATTTTTATATTTCAAAATATAAAGGATTATTTTTCTTCTAAATTTTTATGATTACAATGAATACTGTGTCATATGTTATAATATTTATGAATGTATTTTAAAGGAACGTGCGGAGCTCATTAAAAGTGTAGATTTTGAAACCGTTACGACTTTTGAAAGTCCATACGTCGAAGCGATCAAAGCACTCTGGGGAGACTCCGGCATTCAAGAATGTTACGATCGCAGGCGCGAATATCAGCTCACAGATTCTGCTAAATAGTAAGTACTAAACTTTTCTCTTGGCAACACTTACTATATTATGATATATTATCTTATGTAAAAAGATTAATTTAAAATGGATTTAGCTATTGGTTGAGAAATCTAGTTATCAGTAAAAACTGTTCAAAAAAAAAACAGTCCTCTTGTTTTAAAATAAAATATATGAATTATTTTTATAGTAATATTTTAATAAGTAATAAAGTATATAACTTTTAGTCACATTGAGAATACCTAATAATTAATCAATAAATTGAAAGTACATACCTTGAGTATTACTTTATTATAATTAATAACATTTAAAATTTTATATTAGGGGTTAGAATGTTTGTTTCTTTGTGTTAAAATATTTCCAATAACTTTATACTCATTTACAGTTATTTAATGGAAATAGACAGAGTGGCCAGTCCAAATTATCTGCCCACAGAACAAGACATACTTAGAGTAAGGGTACCCACGACGGGCATTATCGAATACCCGTTCGATCTAGAAGAAATTCGGTTTAGGTAAAAATAAAAGCATGATGTACACTTTTAAATGTATAAGTTTTTTGCTTGCGCATGTGTTTATTATGTGTATCTATTTCTTCATATATTATTGCCAATTTATTTTTAAAATGCATGGATGTTATTGTTTATTGCTAATAATACTAATCAAACACACTACATAGTCTATTTTTTCAATGGTTTCTGCGAAATAAATATAACAGTAACATAAACATCATGTTCTAATGTATACTGTAAAACTAAAATATTCATATCGATTAGAAGTTGTGATAGGATAACGTGTTAAAATTCAAAAATTAACAATACGTTATAACTTTTATTTTAAAAAACAACTAATACAAAATCATAAAATGTATTGATTACTTATAGTATTTTTTTAAATAAAAAATGTATTTAAAATATATATACATAATAATATTTCACACAGTTACTTAAGCGACTTAGCAAGAATCGAGGCCCCCGATTATTTACCTACCGAACAGGACATTCTACGGGCTAGGGCTCCAACTACAGGCATTATCGAGTACCCTTTCGATCTTGATGGTATTGTCTTCAGGTATCATTGTAAAACATGTACATTACCAAAACCTTTAATATCCTGATGTAGCTAACCCTATAAGCCATTATATTCCATAAAAAAATTCAATAAAATAGATATATTTATTTATATATTTACCTATTGATATTAAACTAATCATATGTATTTATGCAATTAACTTGTCAATAATATTTTAATTGATTATAATCACTACAGTAATAACAATACATTTTAGGGTGTTGCACTTTATTTATTTAATTAGCTTTCATTAAAATTATTTTAGCTTTTAATTTTTTTTTTTTTTTGCTGTTTGATAGTAAATTATCATTTTGTTGTGCTTTATTATGGATTTTTATTTTTATTTTTTTTTAATACTAATTATTTTATTATTTAGAGAATATTAATAGCTTTTTATATTATTTTGCTTAAAATAAAAATAAAAAAACAATTATCTAACAAATGCTTTTTATATGAAGTAAATTTTGGGTATAATTTAATATAATTTCAATTTCAATTTTTTTTTTTTTTAATAATAATAATAATAAATATTTACATTTAGGATGGTTGATGTTGGAGGCCAAAGATCAGAAAGAAGAAAATGGATCCACTGTTTTGAGAATGTAACATCCATCATATTCTTAGTGGCACTTAGTGAATATGATCAGATTCTTTTTGAGTCCGAAAACGAAGTATGTATTTACTATTTTCCATATAATATTTTGTTGTTACATTTAATTAATTTTTACTATTATTATTTATTTTCAGAATAGGATGGAAGAATCCAAAGCATTATTCAAAACTATCATAACATATCCTTGGTTCCAACACTCATCAGTAATATTGTTTTTGAACAAAAAGGATCTTCTCGAAGAGAAAATCATGTATTCTCATCTGGTAGACTACTTTCCAGACTTTGAGGGTAAGCCTTTAAACTTATAAATGTTGAAAAATATTATTTTGTTATAAAAATTATAAAGTGACGATATTTAATATTTAAACATACTTTATCTTATGAAATTTTTAAATTTTATGCATATCTATAACATTTCACCATTATATTTTAACTAAGATGCCACTTTACTTTTAATAATTTTCTATTAATCTACTGTTTGATACCTATTTAGGATAGAGGTTGGTGCAGCGTGTTATATTTTTAAAAAATGACTTCATAGACCTCAGAATAGTCAAATTTTGATAACTGTATTAAAAAAGCTATATTTATAATCCAATTTTATTGATTCCGCAAGACAAAATCATAATTTCCATTGAGTTTATTTTTGAGGTCAAAATGACATTAGCATATTGAGCGCCTTAAATATATATTGTTTGGTTCCAACATATTTGTACTTAATATTTTAATAAAATAGTGTCTTTTACTATATGTATATATGTAGGGTTAATAATTAAGGTTCACATTTTAATAAAAATTTTATTTTTTTCTAGAAGCAATAAAATAATGCTTTCCAAGCATAATATTTGCTTTGTGTAAAAAAGAATTCAAAAAAGAAAATTTTATTTTAAGCACATTTTTTGTATATTATCTACAAATGTGTAAATTTAGAACAAATTATATCCTTAAACTTAATGACAGAAAAAACAATTAAAATATTACATAAGTTGAACCTATTTGTTATAAAATGATGAATGACTAAATGTTTATAAAATGCTGCCATTTACATTAAGTTTGATAATATAGACCAGCAATTCTCAACCTTTTAACTTTCGAGTACCGCCTACACATCTAGAAAATTTTTACGTACCATTTAATTTAGAAAACTATTTTTTTCATTTTGCTTAAAAAAATTATAGAACTTATTAAACAAAAGTAAAATTAAGCATGTACAATTTTTTAAAATATAAATCGACCAAACATTACAACATTATAAAAATTATTGTTTATCTCAATTTCTATCTTTAACATGAGTAAAACCGACTATTTTGTTTAGTAATCAAATAAACGAAATAATATTTTATTTTATAATAAATATTTATTTTTCATTCAAGTACCACCTTTGAGCTTTCTGCGTACCACTAGTGGTACGCGTACCATAGGTTAAGAAACCCTGATATAGACAATATAATTAATATAATTATGTATTAATGTAAAATAATACAATTATTCATTTTTTTTTTAAAAAGACTTTTTTGGCATATTTTTAATAAATTCATTGTTTAATGCATTAAGTAATATTTTATTAGGATATTTTCGAGTTTTAGAACATTGAAATCTGAATCCTGTTAATAATACATAACATCCTTAGATTAAAGCTATTTTTTTATATTTTTATTTAAAAATTGAAAATTGAAAAATGTTAATATATACTAGTAATAATACTATTTAATATCATTCTTTTATCAATTATCATTTAAATGATTGGATAAGGTTAACAGATGCGATTTGTTTTAACAAACAGAACTAATAGCATAGTATCATATTTTAATTATAACCAAATATTGTTTTACAACTTCAAATTCATGTTCTATTTGTTACAATATTATTGATCTTATATGAATACAAATAAACATCTTAGTTAAATTCTACTAAAGTTGGGATTTTTAATTTAATATTTGATGTTGAAAAAATTATAGCATTAATTTTGGTTTCCATATCTAATGTAAATTGGTATTTTTTTAAAAATCTTTTGTATATAATTGCAAATATTTAAACATGATTTATTGTGTTTTAAAATAAATATTTTAAAATGAATTTTTTTACTATTTGTTTATAGGTATAATTTTTAACCAATGGTTTAAAAAAAAAAAAAAAAAAAAAATATTTCACTTGAGTGTTTAAATTTTTAGTTTCTTTACATTTTCATGAAAAACTTATTTTGATAATTAGGTAATAAACAAGACAATGATGCTGCCCAGCAATATATTTTGAAAATGTATCTTAAAACAAATCCAGACCCTGATCGCATGTGTTATTCACATTTTACAGTTGCTACAGGTTATATTATATTAGTTTATAACATACATTTTCCATTCTGTAATTATTCCTGTTAGTTTCACATTACCAATTGTCAATTTGTACATAAATATTGCATTAATACCTTTTTATTAATTTTAAACCTCGCCTTTCTAGTTGTTATTGTAGTTGTGTTAAACTTACAATACATCAAATTATTATGATTAAAAGAAAAATACTTATACATTTGTTATATTTTATTAAAAACTAGCACCAGTGATACTCGCTGTATGTGATACCCTAGATCGAAGACAGGACTTTAGAATACCGCAGCTAAAAAAGTCTAGTAGGCAAAACCAGTGATAATAACGTTTGAGACGTTGGTACCTTTAATTTGGTGGCTCTACACTTTGGCAGTGTCGTTTTAGATCTAATTTTTGTTTATAACACCAATAAAAGTTTTATCGAATGATATAAATTAAATTTTAATCCAACTCCTTCAATTACAACATTCAATTAAATACTATATATTGATTTGTTGATTTATTATCTGGTTATGTGATACCTAGTTTAAGGATTTGTTGTTATTCATTTTAAAACTCGTATAATAGATGATTCTATTACAAATGAAGTTGATGAATAATATATAATTAATTTTATATGACTACAAATAATAGTCATGTCTAAAATACTTAACTGATTTGTAACCAATTGAATTGTCTTAGGTCCTCAAAGGGACGCCATAAGTGCACGAGAGTTTATACTAAGGATGTTTGTGGATTTAAATCCTGATAGTGAGAAAATAATTTATTCACATTTCACATGTGCCACAGGTATTTAACAGAATTGATAATTGTGCATGAGCTTATGGGACTTCTGGTTTTTTTGTGTGAATTGTATTATACAATGTGGTTATGCATGAACTAATGAAAATGAATAAAAGTTTATATTTTTACAGTTCAACACTTACCAAACATCAGTTTTATTTAACATAATGTATACTTCAATACTTATTTGATGTATAGTATTTTTACTGTCAGGATGTTGTCAAGAAGCAATTTTAAATTATTTATTTAAATAAATATATAGTTAATGAACCTAAACCTTATCATGTAATTATAACTATGAACAAATACATTTTTATCTTAATATTATCTTTAGAAACCAAAAACTATCCATGTAAACAATTAGTTTTATCTATAATTTCTTAGCTATTATACAATCCATTTTATTTTTATTTTAGTGATTTTTTTTTTTTTTACACATTTATAAAATTAATTAATTAAATAACAATATTAATTATGTGATGTTTCTTCTTTACATGCTGCTTGTTTTTACAACAAATCAGATACAGAAAATATAAAACTGGTGTTTTGTGCTGTTAAAGATACAATTATGCAAAGTGCTTTAAAAGAATTCAATTTAGCCTAATTGTTATTAATTATTACTATTATTATCATTATTCTTATTCTTCTTATTATTATTATTATTATTATTCTGATTATTATTATTATTACTATTATTATTATTATTATCATCATCATCGTTATTATTACTACTCATATTATTATTTAAAAATAAAAATTCTAACAAACATTAGAACATATTTTATTTTGATTGTATTTTATTGAAAATTATTAAATCAATAAAATTATTTGTTTTATTTTACTTAGTGTGTTTTGTCTTTTTTAATTATTTTTTATACCTAATTGTTTAAATGATATACTATACATTAATTAATTAAGCTATTACTCATAAATTTTGCGTTTTCTTGTGGGTTTTTAAATTATTAGATTCTCTGCTTGAAATGCTGATCCATAATTTTTGCATGCTGATCAATATTTTCTCATTATGCATATAATTTTCTTAAGGTAATATCAAACATTTTTAATTTACTAACACACCATCTATTTAAATGTTTGCATGTTATTTTTTTTTAATAATAACACAAGCATGTATTTTAAAATATGATACTTTGCAATTTGGATTTTAATTCAACATATAACTACTACTTATTTTCAGATACCGAAAACATTAGATTTGTCTTTGCGGCAGTGAAAGACACCATACTACAATCCAATCTTAAAGAATACAACCTTGTGTAATATTGCACAAATAACGCAAAACCCCATATGTTAATATTTTTTACTATTATAATGTTAAAATAACAATACGATTAGTATAAATCCTAATTATATATAAAAACAAACAACAAAAAAGTAAAAAGTAAAAAAAACGAGAAAATGTATCCTATGTTTTTTGTACAATATTTTTAACAGAGTACGTTTTCTCTCACATTTTTATCTCCATGAGTGTCAGTTTGTTAATGTTGGTGTCGTGTGTAAGTCGGTGTAAATCCGTCATGATTTTGATAACATAACATAACATATAAAGGGTAACTTAAATTTTTTTTTTTAATACAAATTTTTTACTCATGTAAAAATTAATTGAAAGAAAATAATGATTAATACTTTTTATAAGAGCGCATTTTTTTTTAATTTAATTTATTTTTTTTATTTAAAAAAAATATATGGTTAATCTCCTATATGATGTTCATTGCATTTAACCCTTATGTTATAATAATTATACAAACTATATAATATTTAAATATTAAAAAAATATGTCAATATGAAATATGTGTACATAAATCTAATGAGATTAAGAAATTATTAATATCAGAATATAAATGTTTAAGTGTAAGTAAAACAAAACAATTCATCTAAAAAAAAAAACAAATGTTATCCCCCCTAATTACCTAAGTATTCATAATTGTTTTTTTAATGAAAAATTATTTTTATTTTATTAACATCATGATGAGGTGGAGGTTTTACTTGTGCAATTTTAATAATTTATTAAACCCTTAAAATTTATGTAAGGGTAGTTCTAGTCAGTCTCGTTAAAAACTATAAAACATACATTTTAAGCAAAATATTGTGAAATTTTCTGAGTTACCTGTGTAAATTTTTTTGATTTTAAATTAAAAATTGTAATTTTTGGTATTTATATTTATAATCTATGGGAAACATCTCAACATTGTGCTCACCCCATTTTTCGCTCTGTATTTTATTTAAAATTTAAGACACTTGTTTTACTTGTTATTTTTATTATTATTATTATTATTATTATTATTATTATTATTACTATTATTATTATTTAATATTTATACATAAAATTATGTGTTTGTGTGTGTGTTTGAGAGTGAATGAATGTGTGAGTGAATATATTATGCTTAGAAAAGTCGAGACTATTAACCTTGACTATCAAAACATATTATACTATCAACAAATGGCGCTAATTTTCCTTATCTTTTTAATAATTGTTTATACATATTATTTTAAAAATATAAACATGACCCCCTCCCCCTCACAATTTAAAAATAAATTAATAAAATAAAATTATTGTAGTAGTAGTAGGAGTTAACAGTTATTATAATCCATGTATTTTCTAATTTTAAAGATATATATACTAATGCACAGATATTGTGTATTGTCCATATGACATATACCCCATCAAATACTTTTCTAGTTATATACTAATAAATTATCAATATAACAAGCACTCCTCTTTTACTTAACTATTTGTTTGAGTGAAGATGACAAGTTAACAATTACAACGAATAATGATAACCTGTTAATAATAATAACATCTAGTTCTTCTACTACTCTACTATATCTCTGCTGTTTAATTACACAGACCAAAATCAGTGTTCTTAATCAGTATCTCATCTTTCATATTTATTTGTTTTTCTAAAGTATTTTAGTGAGAATTTTCAAATGTATCATCGGACTGACCTCATTAATAAATATATATAATGTACATTTAATAATAATGTTAATATAATTAATTTTTCTGGGGTGATCACATCAACTCGACCACCTGGTGTATTTAAAATTTAATGTATTTTTTTTTTCCTTTTTCCATTGTATAAATATTGTTTTATACTATTGCAAGCCATTATTTTCAATACTTTTATAATATATGGTAATAAGATAACATAATATATAAAACGACTATTGTCAGACGTAAATATGTTATGTGTTTATTTTATTTTATTTTTGTTTTTTATCAACAGTCAAACACAAATAAAATATTTACATATTATATGGATAATTAATGTTAAATGTTTTGTAAGCCACATTTTATTATTTATATTCTGATATTAAATTTTTGGTTTTATTAAATTATGTTATATTTTTCCGTGTTTTTTTTTTTTTTTTAATCAAATATGAAATGCTGCCGGTTTTTTTTTTTTATTATTATTTTGTTTTTTTTTTTTTTTACTTATCGGTCATCCGATAAAACTAGTGCAATTTCACTTTAAAATTATATGCAAACATAATTATTAAAAAGTACTTAGTCAAAGTGTTACCTGTTAGTTTACAGTACTAACGAAAATATGTATGTACATAATATATACATTTATCATATATGTATATGTATAAAAAAATTTATTTATATATACATAAATGTTCATGTATAATAAATTGTTTTAATAACAATCAAATGTTGGATAAAAAATATTCCTTGAGTTCATTATTTTGATACACGTGTATATAGTTTTTTTTCTGTGTGATGTCTAATGTGAATTTTTTTCAAAAAGAAAATATACAATTATATCGCTTTTTAAATGGTTCTTTTTCTTTTCTATTTTTACAATATGAAATACATTTTAGTTTTCATTTTTAAATTAATAACAAAACATAATCATTTCAAAAAGATTTGATTTATTCCTTGTAATTGTTCATATGTTCATATTTTGGTTTTGAGCAACTTAGTTAAATGTTGACTATATTTTATGTATTATTTTTCCATATTTTAATTTTAAAGTTGACATACTTGAGTTAATATGTTATTATTTGTGTTATAATTTGTTTTTTCTCTGGCTACAATATTTATCAATTTGAATGTATTGAAATGGTCAATATATTTTATTCATAAATAATATTGCCTTTGTACCGCATATAATATAATCTAATAGCCATTAGGTTCTTTAATTCAACAAAAAAAATAATAAATCCTTTCAATATCAATTTTAATCTCTTTAGCTCTACACTGGCAAATAAATTACCTTGATTTATTTAATTCAAAGAACCTATCCTAATCTGACCATCTATAAAGTGGTTATTTTTAGTAGGTAAAAGTTTCAAATAGTATTTGATGTATGTCTACAATGCCCTTATTATATTTAACTATTTAATTTTAAAATGATAAATTTACACCTACGAATAAACAATTTTATCAAATAAGTTTTGAAATTTGATGAAATAAAAAAATCTGGAATACTGTAAGTATTTAAGTATCTATTATTAAATTCCCAGCTATAAAACTATTAACATAATATGAAATATTCTTAGTTTATAATAAATAATAAATAATCATTATATTTTGTATTGATGAAAGAACATTGAACATCATATAACAATGTATTTATTTTATTTGTGGTATGATGGTCCAGTGTGACGGATCCAAGAGGGGAGGGATAATAGGGTAAACCCTCCCTTTAGGTTAGGTTACCCATTACCCAAAAGAATTACGAAAAACTGTCAATCGGGGCTTGGCATGATAATTTATTACTCCCTTCCATTGATACATTTCTGGATCTACCCCTAGGATGGTCTATAAAATCAAGTGCATTTACATTTTTTCCTTGTTCATAATTTGTTATAACTTAAGTTCACTGTTAAGTTGTGTTTTTTACAAATTTATTATGAAAATAAAATTTTTTAACATTCATTTCACTTCCAATATATTCCTACACTATGATAAATAATGAGATACATATAGTATTTAAAAAATACAAAACTGAATTAACTTTCCAAATGGTAAACTTCTAATTTAAAGCTACTAATTTAAAAAATCCTCAACTAAATACAAATAATTCATTTTGACAGAAAATCCTTGTTAAACTAGTTATGATAATTTTATTATTTTAATCTGTAACTATTTTATTCACATTGAAATGAAACACATTCAAATAAATTTTTAATTGTTTATATAAATACAGTATTAAGAGTTTAGGATATTTCCAAAAATTGGTTTATTTACATCTATTAATAATTATTCATCAAAATAAATCTTATAAATGTTATCCGAAAATATATTTTTCCACCTGTGACCACTAGTCATTGCATATGTAAAATTTAATGATTTTCAGATTTTTTTATGTAAAACTATAATAGATCCAATAATTTATAAAATCTTTCGTTCCATCTACTCTTTTAATAAACCTAATTTATATATAATTTGTTATTACTAATTACATTCAAGTTCAAAACTATACTTGGCCAAGATCAATATTTGTTGGATGGCAATCAGCTGAAACTTGTTTGTCCTCTCAGTATGCCAGTTATCTATAAGCCTGATGAGTGAGAATATCAAGACCCCATGTACAAGTTAGCTGCCAAGTATAGTTTTGATTTGAATAGAATATGGTATCTATTAGTAATATGTTCCAATATGAATACTTTCTATATATTATTAATCGACTGATTAAAAAATATTTTTTATATATATGCTAAATTATTCTACAATATTTAAGAAACCTCATAATTTATTTGTCTTTATCACAAAATTATTTATTAATTAACCAATGTTAAATTATTTATGTATTTTAATTTTAAGCTAAAAACTCTTGACACAGTCTCAAAGGATGATGCTGTCAAGATCTCTATAATCAATAAAATAATCATGCTGAAGTGTTCTATCAATGGATAGTATCATTAACATCTCTACTCATTAAAATCAAGTCTTTGTTTTTTTTTTGAAAATATCACATTTTCTTATTGTACATAAAATACAGATTATAAATATTTTATTTTAAATAAAGAAAAAAACTTCCAAGCTATTAAAAAGCATACAATTTATCAACATGTTAAAAATCAATATTAATTGTTAAAATTTATTAATACATTCATAAAAAAAATTGTAAAGAATAAATGGTAATAAACTTATCTTAATACGTGTATTTTAGACTCTTAGATAATCAGACAATAAAAGAATTTATTATTTTTATTTTATTTTTTATAGTAATATTGATTTATAAAAAAAAGATTTCATGAATTCTAACTGTCAATATTTCTGTACCTTAAGTATTCAACTAATCTCTAATTTTTCTTACCTTAGTCGTGAATATTTCTTAATATTCTACATTTTACTACTTCCATTTTATAATAATTATATTGCATACTTTAATCACATAGCTACTATCATAAATTAAGATTAATATTAAAAACAAAAATAAAACAATGAGTTATTGAATAAATTTTATTAGTTAAAAAAAAATGTGAAACTTATAATTTTTTTAAATCCTTAATGAAACACCAAAAAATATTTATTAAAAAAATTGAATTAAACAACTTAAAATACTTGAATTTTTAAATTAAACCTTAATATAAAAGTACTTAATTAATAATGTATGTTTAAGTTTAAAGACAGTCTATTCTTACTCATATAAAGATTTAAAAACTGTTTTATAACAAATGAAATTTTCCTTCATGTTCAATGTGATCAAAAAAAAATACATTATAATTCTCAATAGGCTTATTCATCACAGTGTTTATAGCAGTCTGGGATACCATAGCTCCAATAATAGAAGTAGTTGGACTCAACTCACAAAATAATTCACTAAAATACAAACAATTTAAAATTGTTAATAGTTTCATTCTAACAGTTACAAAGTTTAATTATAAACTTACCTATAGTATTCATCAAATACACTGTTAGTAGTATTAATTTCATCTGAAGACGAATTAATAATTAGTTTCAATTCTTCAATATCTTCTTCACAAGTATCAGGATTTGGTTTACGATTAGATTCAGATTGAAATTTTAATAAAGCTTAAAAAATCATAATTAAATACAAAAATATATTTTATTTAGGCAATAGTTAAAAATATAACCAACAATAATATCGATTTTAATATACCTGAAGTCAAAAAATAAAGCAGAGGTAATTTTTTTGGAACAGGATCAGTATTGGTTTGATCATTATTTAGAAACACCTCACCGTACAAAGGAAGTTTAAAATTACTAAAATAATAAAATAAAACATTTATAATTATTAGATTTTTTTTGGTAATTATAAAATTACTTATTACTTACATGTCTTGGAAAAAGTATCCAAATAAACCATAAACATCAGCTATGAATAATTTTACTTGAGCTTTTCTACAAAATTCACTCAATCTTTTATAAGTACTTGGAGAACATTCAGTAGCTATGACAACATCAAATGCAGTAACAAAACTATCAACGTTTTGTTCAATAGGTGTTGTATCTACGATGACTTTGACATTTGGATTTAGCTTTTGAGCAGCACTCATACTTGCTTTAGCACGCTACAATTACATATTAATTACTATAACAATTGTATTACACTCTTTACTTGGTAAAACTAGATACATTACTCACATTACGTTCTTGGCTATCACGCGGGATAAGAAATTGAGAACAATGGTCTAATATGGACACTTCTGTATGATCTTTAAGGGTGATAGAATTCACACCCGACAATATCAAATTTTTAGCTATCTCTGCGCCTAAGCCTTGCATTCCAATTAAAAGTACTTTCATCGCCCTTAACCTAGAAAGAGTTAAAATTTAAAATATGTATGAAACAAAATTTGAGCCAAAACATACTTATTTTGTCCATCGTAACCCCACAGCCGTATTTGTCGGTCATAAACCTTACGTTCGTCTTTAGACATTTGATCATCGCCATTTTTCGTGATTTCGGAAGCCATGTCGTGTATAATTCAAAGAATTTCAAAGACTATATTATTTATAAATAAGAAAAAAAAAACTATATTATTTTGCAGAACTTCGCAACGAATCACTATAACACGAGGTAAGCGTTTGATCGAACAATGACACACAAGAGTAGTACAACACTCGACGAACAGTTTAACACAATATTAGATTGATAATCGGTAATAATTATGTTTGAAAAATGGATTCAGAGATAAACATTAGGTAAATAACTGGAAGTAGATATTCGTTATCCAGCATTCAACAGCTAACAGCTACAGTTTGACTTTAAAAACATGAAAAGCGAAATATCAATTGGACACGGTTCACAACACTCACAACGAGAAAAAGATTATGGACAGTGAACACTGGACAGTATGGTATATTATATTGTAATGTTTAAAAACTCTTAACTTACAGCCCGGCGCCCAACAACCGGCTAGCAGTAAACAGTAAATGGTGTTAACACAAACTAACCAGCTGTGGCGGTACGGTTACATACAAAATTATCATCCCAAAATCTAACCATAAACCAGTTACCAATAAAGCTACGTTTGATTTTTTTTCTTACATGAAAATTTCATCAATAAGTGATACTAGCTCTACTAGAACAATAAAATCTACAAAACATTTGTCCCAATAAATCGGCTATATAACAAAAGTGCCAAAGGTACAACAATTACATTTACATATCGTTTGCGCCAAAATGTTTAGGACATAAGCGCCAATCTAATATTACATACCAGTTATACCCAATTTATGACATATGCGCAAAAGATATCGTTTTATGTTTCGATTTTATAAAAAGTTGTCAATAATATACATACAAATATAAATATAATTTTAATTAATTTGTTGATTTTTTAATCCAATTTTTTTTACACATTCCATACGATTTATTTCACCATCCTAGTATTTCTTCCATTGTACATTTATTTTTCTTAGTACACCTCAATTACACATTATTGCTGTCCATTTCTCGTAAAAATCTTTATTTTTGACCTGTAAATATACCTAATTTACGCAACATTTTTATTAATATCTACCTATTATTTTTCGTAAAATTAATTTTAACAAATGACGCTTACACGAATGCTTACGAAATAGGTAGTAACAATTAGTTGTACCTATAGGTAACACAAAACTGCTCACACACTGTATATGTAACAATCTATCGTAATTAGATAATAAATTCGTCGATTAAGATTAAACGTTTGGAGATTTTGAACGATATACTTTATTCTAATTTTAAATAGTGTACCTAAGTTAGATTCCTAGGATTTGGCGCATTTGTACGATACGATTTTGGCGCTTTCGTACGATACGACTTTTTTTGTTCTCATTTCATTTTGGCGCTTAAGTCTTCCATTGAATAAAACATATTTTGTCCAATAATTTTAAAACAATTAATGTTTTGTGAAAAAAATATGATAGAAATTTATTAGGAATGTCATATGTTTCTCGTAAATGAAATAATACAACTTAAAAATGCCAATAACCCGCTTAAAACGAAATAGAAACCACATACAAACACTACAAACAATAAACAAAAAAATGATTTTTATCATTAAGTTTTAGTGTTTGGTGATAGTTTTATTTACTCTAATATTAAAGATAACGAAACTTCAAAGTTAAAATCGTATTCAGCAGTTCATATAGGTACTAGTGAGTAGTGGTACTACTGATTGTAGATTTACCTACCATGTTATGCATTTATAAGTTTTAAGACGGAAACTACAATTATTACTGCGGAAAAAGCTTCCTCTATTGCATGGGTCATTTAATATAGTTACAAAGCATTAATTAAATAATTAATACTAAATTATTATAATTATCTATATTGTTTTCATTAACTTTTGAATTAATGCCGCGTTACTTTTATATAGTGCCAATAGGAACAGGTTCGTCGTTCATAGTATCTGAATATAAATAGAATATATAATACCTTAAATTTTAAAATTAATTTATATGTTTTGAAAAAGTTTTTGTATCATAACAAAATATTAAAGTCGTTATTCGTTACCTATTAAAATATGTACTTTTATTTAAATTTAAACTTTAAATAACTATAAAAATAATTTATTTTGATTGTATAATTTTTAAATATTTTAATTCTAATATAAAAAACTTAAGGAAAATATTGTATTGAATTTTCAGACTATAGATATGAAAATTAAAAATTTTAGTCTACTTCAAAATACTTTTAGTTAGTATATTTTTACAACGAATTGTATAAACATTTGAACTTCAAACGCATGTAAAACAAATTGCGCCTATGTATTTTTAATATATTTGTACAGATTTAAAAACAACTTATGTGGGATCTTGTGTTAAATTTTTAAAAATGTGGACTAAATAATATAATAAAGTGATTGTACTTTCAAATATTTTTATACAGATATGAAAATTAATAAAAAATAATCATTAAATTTTACAAGACATGCTTAAGTGTTTAAAATTGTGGAAAATTGTATACAAAACGGTCAATACTTAGAACCGCAGAAATACTAAAAAAGGAAAACAATAATTTATATTTTTTAATGGATTTTAAACGGAGCGATAGATGTATTGATTTTGTATATATAATGTATTTTGGTGTGAGTCGTGTGTGTGTTATGAATACACGAAAAGTAATAGAAAACAATTCTTAAATTTTTCAACTTTAAGGGTAATATCTGATAAAAATTGAATCTATATAGTTGGTCCATTTGAAATTTAAAAATTTTAAATTCTCTTATATTGTTACAAATAATCGAGAAAACTAAGAAAAACTGACATTTCACATAAAACCATGCAGTTTTAGCAAAATGGATTTTTTTTTTTAACACTTAAAATGTTCACCAAATGTTTATATTTACTACATTAATTAATAGTAATATATTTGTATAAGTTATGTAATCATATAAGCTGACAGATTGTCTCCGTTCAGAATCATTTTTTAAGTGCAATGATTTATCATTAAAATTCAAGGTTTACATAATATATTGATTACAGAGTAAATTCAATGTAGACTAATATATATTAATTTTATACTAAAAAATCGTTTTATTCGTATTTAAAAATATTATAACAAATGATAAATAGAAAATCTACGTATCTCCATTCAGTACGCTGTTCGAACCGATATTCATTAGTCTAGAGAACGGATTTTTATGATTTTACGTAGGTATTTATTTCTAGTGTATGCAGTTAAATGAGAGTAATAGATATCAATATATCATTATAATTTATAAAATATAAAATTCATAAGAAAAAAATTATTTTGGATATAAAAAGCATATTTTAGTGGTTGGAGAATATTCAACACGTTAAAAAATGTTTGAGAAATGAGAATATTTCTATTCTTGAAGACTTTATTTTCGTAATATCAGCATAATGATCTTATTTCACGGCATTTCGATAAAATTGATCAATAAATACAATATTCACTATATTATGAGTTATTTTTATATCCTCCTGGGTATTAATAAACATTAATTAGTTTCTATTATGAATATTTCTTATCGATGGCGTTAGTATATTGATTATTTTGTTAGCTATTTCGATTATTCAGTCGTCCGTCACGGTATGTGTTGATATTTGAATGCGATATATTATTGCGTGTATACCTATTGGCTATTATCTTTTCATTCGTATTATTATTACAATATATTATAAATATGCCAAAAACTTTTTTTTTTTAATATTGAAAGAATATTTTGTATTTTATAGGACATAAAACATTATATATTATCTGGTATTTAAAAAAAACACTAAGAGAATAATATACTGCCTATTTTAAACGACAAAAACATCATATTTTACGGATTTTAAGAGAATATAAATCTTACTTCTATTCATTGCTAATGATTAATGAATAATGATTAACCGCAGTCCGCAGATACAGTTAATCATCAGTACTTCTTCTTTTCATGCCGGTCTTCATATTCATCATTATAAAAAAGTACTATCACACTTTCATCTGTGACCTACAGTCGCCTCCCCCCCAAAAAAAAAAAAAATGTACAAAATTCTTATAATATAAAAATATAGCAAATACTTTGAAAAGTAATAGTCATGATTCTCAAACACACGTCACACACACACACACACATATATATATATATATTATATTTTTTAGCAAATAACCTATTTATACTTTTTGACCATAAAAAAAAATATAGTAGAATTTAAAAAATGTATCTCTGCTTATATAAAGAAAGAAAAAAAACTAATACCTACATAGTAAAAAATTAACAAATTAAAAACAATATTTACTAAGTGACACAATTATTAAGTCATTTAGGTTTCTTGATGATACGGCCCCAAAAGAGAATTTAACAATTCGCCACTCGGGCCACTCCTGTCCCAGATAAAAATTTGCCGCTCTTATCCTAAAAAATTCACTTCTATAAAACAAAATTTCTTTAAATAGTGATATTTTCTATATATTATGTAATTTTTTTTTTTAAATTTAACTTGGGTTCTATAAAAACATTTTAATTTAACTATAAATATCACTTTGGTGAAACAAATAAACGAAAATAAAATCCAAATAGCAAGGTGCATCTTTCAAAAATTCAAAAAAAAAAATTAAATATTTTTTTTATATGAGAACAAAATAAATATTAAATACAATTTTGCTGCGTATAAAAAATGTACCGCCCTATGCATAGCCCGGCATAGGTTAGGTTAGACCGCATAGTTCGCAGTGCCTTAAATTCATCCCTGTATGTGCGTATCGCGTATGCCGTATGGACCCCAACTAGATATGTCTAGGAAATTGCCATTAGAACCATGTAGGTACCTACTCATGTATTTCAGAAAGGTACTTTGCCCGCGGGTTCGCCGCGGTATAAACTATAAATATTAAATTTCGGTTGTAAGTATCTTCCATCTCGGGACGTAGTGCCCGCGACTGCACTCGGAGAGCGCGATCTAGCGCCTCCACTTCATCGCGGTCTCCCACATTCCCCTGTGCCGTGATTTCACCGGATCGGCGACGGGGAAATATGTGGGCGGCGTCGAGTGACGACGGCGCACCTGTTGATTAACGCAAAATCACGTCATAGTGGGCTCTCATTCCGATACTGGCGAGAAATGAGAATCGTTTCTTAGACGGTAACACGGTACTGCGGCGGTGGTGGTGGTGGGCGACCGTGGCATAACGGACGTTGAGGACGACGTAACGGATAGCCGATAACGAGTCGGCGGACGCACCATAACTGCTGAGTAGGTACTGAGCACCGCTGCACCTACGTACGTACCGTTGCCCGCAATCCGCTGCAACACGGCGGCATTACTCTGCACTCTCTGCAGGACCATGTCGTCCGCCGATCGCGCGCAATCCACGACTGCAGCCGCATCACGCCGTCACCGCCGACCGTGTACGCTTTCGGGGCAACGCCAGCGAATACCGAATGCAACCCGTCGCCACCTGACCGACACGGCCGCGGTATTGCCGTCGTTATAATAGAAATATTGCAAAACATCGATATACTGTCGTAGGTGTGTTATAATTTATTCGGACGGTCCGTCTTAGACAGGCCGAATTGACGATTGTGGTTTTTTTTTCTCCGATAGACGCCGAGACACACCGCACATTACGGATATTGCCCGCACGATCTGCACACGTGAGTATGTTTAATTACGTTTTGTAAAACGGACTTCGGCGCCTGCGACGACTTCCGCGTGACGGGCTAAATGTTTGATATTATATAATATGTTGTCGCAGACGCCGGATCTGCTAGTCAGCGACTCGACGTCGTCTTCACACTGTTTAAATATAGCATAGGTATCTTAGCCGTGTTTACGTCTAACAGTTGCAGCTGGTTCTTTTTTCTCTTTTACCGGCGATTACCTCAATATTAACTAATTGCATGTAGGTAATGTAAATTATTTATCATCTTGTTGGGTTCTATCTCTCTTAATAGCATTGTTGTTGAGATGTCATCATCACATTTTCTTGTTGTGTTGTATAAGCATTGATCGTGAATTTCCTAAGTAACAAAAAAATATATCAATTAGTCTGCCACATAGATGTGTTATTATATTTTAGTATAATGTGTTTGAGCCGATTTTCTGCTCTCGCTCTATACCTATTGCAGCTATTTAATTTCAAAAATTAAATTTTTACAGCTCGTGGTTAATCACATATTACATTGCCATGACTCCAACGCATGTAGGTGATGTCAAAAATGCTGCTACCGAGGGATTACCTGCAAAATTTGTTTTATCCATGAGAACATTGTTCGACATTTTAGATGATAAAAGGACTGGATATGTTAAGTTTTCTGGTAATTTTTTTCTATTTGTTTTTTAAGTAGAAACAATTATTCCATTTAATTTTTGTTTTGTAGAAATTGAGACGAGATGGCAAGATGATGGTACTAAAGGTTTGCCTAAAGGTGTATTAGATAGTCTCCGAAAAGTAACACCACCAAATGGTTTACTGTCTTTTGATCGTTTTTGTACTGGTTTAAAAATGTGCCTACTTCGAAATCAAATGGAAAATGGTCGTCGGGATAATGACTCTGTACGACCTCCATCTGCTCCACTTTTGGATGTAGATATTAAACCTAACGTACAATGGACAAATGGAAATATGGCTGCCATTCGACCTACTCAACAAAGAACTCTAAGTATGCCACAATTAGCTTTGGAGCGTAATAGTAAGGAAGTACACCAGATGTCACAAAAATCTACATCATCATCGCTTTTTGGACCACCTAAACCTCCAAGAACTGCTGCAGGCTTAGAACGTGGCTTACAGCTTGCTTCTGGTGAACGGATTATCGATAAGGCTGAAATAAGAACAGCCTTACAAAATTGGCAATTGGGAGTGTTATTAAACGATCAAAGCTGTTCTAGAAGTGAAAAACAATCAGGTACTTAATTAAATTAATGAATATTTGATAAAAATGTTTTTTAAATTATAACTTAACAATTATAATTTATTTTTAGGAGAACAAACTTATAAAAGAATTAATCAACGACGAAGAGAACCAAGACGTCATACTCTTCAAAGTGGTGTAGATTATAATATGGTGTGTGTACTTTATATTTTATTAATATAATGATTTTATAATGCATACAATTTCTTCAACTTTTTCATTCAGCTGAAAAGAATAAAACAAATAGAACAGGAAAAAGAAGTTCTCATGCATGGTCTTCAAGCTGTGGAAAGGGCAAGAGACTGGTACCATAAGCAGATAGCTGCTGTACAAGAAAAAATGAAATACCTTGGGCGAACAAATTCACACACAGTTAGTTAAACATATGGCTTATAAATTATCATTTAACTTATCTTACATTTATTTTTAAAATCATTAAAGCAAGATCAATGGACTGAAGCACAACAGGAGCGTATTGAATTACAACGAGCTCGAGTCTTAGAAGTTAATAGACATTTGTCCGCATTGACAGATGGTGGTGAACGATGGGGTGGTTTACCATTACATATGAACTTGGCTGTGCATTCAGCAAATAATCCCGGAACGATGTTACATCAAAATCCTCAAGTAATGGCTACATTAAAACATCGTAACCATTTACTTACTGAGGTTGGTTTTATAAATATTACATTTTATTTTTATTCTCTTATTATACTTTATGATTATTTTTCAGGAGTTAGGACAAAAAAGTGAAAGAATATCAACGTTAGAAAGAGAAAAGGCGACTCTTATTAGAGAATTATTTCAAACCCGAACCCAGATGGGACGTAAATTAGGGAGATTAGATAGTAAACCTGATGGGCAGTCATATATACCTTAATAATTGGAATCTGTTACCAAGTGCAATTAAAAAAAAAAATGCTCTGTAAGAAAACACGGTGCTTGAATAGACCAGAAAAAATAAAAATATACCATTATTTTTTAGCTCAATTTAACAGGTAAACAATATATTATATTCTTATGTGTTATGACAATACAGATTTTTATAATGATCACTAGCCATACCTCAAATTTATCAGTATTATTAGGTGTTATTATTAATTAGTCTAAACATAACTTTTTTCTCATTTGATGCAAAATAATTTTTAATAAAATATTGCTTGTGATTATTGTACTTATAAAAACAACAATTGTTTACAATTAGGTACAAATATTTGAATTTGTTTAGAGAGAAGTTTAGTATCTTGTTATAAAGTCTTACATAATAGATATATAAATCAATGTTCAATATGTATTCATTTTATTTATAATAAATAATTTACTCAACTTGTTAAATAATGTATAAAACTGCCATACAAATGAAATAGTTTTCAAACTAATCTTAACATAAGTTTCCGTCCGTCTCTCTGTGATGCCAATATTATTCGAATTATAAACTGGAAATTTTTTAAGTTTAATTATTGTTACTAAATTTTTAATATTTAATAAAATAAGTTGTTCTTAAATTTGTTTAAATAATTTTGTGCCATAAATATTTAGTGTACTATATTGAGTAACTTGATATGAAATGTATGTTTATTTTAATATTAATTTTTGGGATATGGCAAATATTATGTTATTACTTATTTAAAATGGTTAATATTTTACAATATGTTGATCTATTTTTATTAAATTTTATACAATAAATGTTTTTGATTAATAAACATTGTTAATTTTGTACTTATGCAAAAATAAAAGATTAATAAATTGTCAAATTAAAAATTAATAATTTTTGTTGATTGTATAATATATTAATATATAACATACTTAAATAATTATATGCTTTAATTTTAATTCATTTAAATTTTAAATGATTATTTGTTGTTTAGTTTATATCATACATATTATATTAATAGGATTTAAATAATACAATTATTATGAGCTTATTTTGAAAATAAAATATCCTTATTTAATTTTTTTAGCACCTACTACCTAAAAAGTATTACTTAAATTTAGTATGAAAAAATAGTAAAATTAGAAATTAAAAAATGAAATTTTAATACTATTTTAATCATATCTAGAATTAAAGTGGCTTGAACAGTTATTACATATTTTTAAATTTCTATAAATTGTAAATTGCATATATTACCCAAATACCTATGAATAAAATGGTAAAAAACAATAATATGCATTTGTATAAAATAACTTCTAAAATATGCAGAACAAATAGTTTTATACTTTTGAATCAAGTATGTATCAAACTTTTTTTAGAATTCGGAATCATATTTATTGCTATACAATATCATTATATCCACAGTTGTGCTAGTAATATTCATATAAATTATAAAATATGTGTGCATTACAATTTTAACCATAGTAACCATTTTTCATAACATATTGACTATTGTACATGATTAAAGTTTAAGGGGATGATAACAGTATTAGAACACCATTGTGACTGCACTAAGCTAGCAAAGGGGCTATTTCAATATAGATTTATGATTATGGTGACTTTAGACCAATTCTGGAAGTTTAAAAATAGTATTAGAAAAAAGAACTTTACAGAGATAATAATGTGTTTATTTCTGTTGGTTTTGATATTTGTTTACTATTGTGTCGACATTTTTCACATATTACCGTGTATGTATCGACTACCGTCAGTTTTGTATTTAACACACATGCTGTCTCTGACCTTTGTGGTTTTCAACCTGCTAACTAATTTTTTAGCTGTAATGTATGCTGATTCATCAGTGATTGGCCGTTTGCTTACTGTGTCTGAATACACATCAAAAGGTATACAATATTTTAGTACAAAAAGTATGAATAATAATAAATTACATTTTTTCCAGAAGATATTACGTACTGCTATATTTGTCAGTGCGATGTTCCTTTAAGGTGTTGGCACTGTGACATATGCAATATCTGCATATTGACTAGAGATCATCATTGCACATTTAGCACGACATGTGTTGGTCATTATAACAGAAGATATTTCTTGTGGTTTTTGCTGTATTTAGCTGTGGCCAGTTTTTACGAGATAATCTTAATTGGTTATTATACATACTATAAAGTGACAATTAAATTTTCAGACTTGATAGTTTTAGTACCATTTCAATTGGTTTTAACAGGTTTTCATTTAACAGTAGGTCAAATTTTTGTAGTTTTACTGACATTGAATTTTATAGCTGTAACAATGTCTTCATTGTTGTTAATTTATCACCTAAATAAGGTATGCAAAGGTCTGGTATGTCATGATAAACAAAATAGTAATTATGATTTTGGTTTAGTGCGTAATTTGGAAACTGTTTTTGGGAAAAAATGGTATATAACATGGATTTCCCCATTCATTAAATCTAAATTACCATACAACGGAATTGATTGGCAAAGTCATGTTGATCAATATAAAAGAAAATAAATCAATTTTTATCAATAAAATTATAAAATATCAAATAATATCAAAAATTTAAAATTATCTGTGATATAGAAGTCAAAGTTATGATGCAGCTTTATATTTTAGTTTTAATAGATAATTAAATTATGAATGCATTAAAATAATCAAATGATTTCTGCATAATTTAATAATCATAAAAGTGTAAAACAGGTGTATGATAATAATAGAATAAATGTATTTATTGTTTAACTGCAAATAAAATGTTTAATTAAACTATTTTTAATTATGTTTTTATTTTTTTTTAATTCACTCATTTATTATTGACTACAATAAAAAAATGATTCAGGCATTTAAATGTAACTATTTTGGTTATTTCTGAAATATATGAACCCAATAAGGAAATTAAAGGAAAGATGTTAAAAGATATAAGAAAAAAATATACAACCAACATATGCATCAACAATATTGATATACTTTACTGTGTACAAAAACACCTGTAATGGATAAAATCATTATAACAATGATGTACAAATATCACTAAGTTTCAATTACAAACTATTTGACCAGAATATATGGATGCGTATTTTTTCTGTACAAAAATTAGGTAACATTTTAATAATAATTTTTAAATAAACTAAAAATAAATAATAAATAATAATAATACACAAAATCTTTGGTATACAAATAAGGTTATGATTTCCCGATGAGTTCATAAAACTAGTTGGTTAAAAGCAATTTGATATCATGTAATAACCAAAAATAATAATTAGTTAATAAATTTGATTAACTATAATACTTATTAAAGTATGAATATAATAAAAAATAATTAAAACAATATTCTATTAATTTTTAAAATCTAATATAGGAAATTGTCTTGATTTTTACTATATAAATATAAATAACATATATTGTATTCATTAGAAATTGTGTTGAAATAATTAAATAAAAATTGAAGTGTTTTAATGACTTCATTACGTGTTTAAGTCATAAATTATGATCCAATAGATATAATATTAAATATGCATTTGCAAATTTGAATTATTTAGACAAAAATAGTAGGGATGTAAATGTTGGTATAATATGAAGACATAACATAATTTACCATAACAAATACTATTTTCAATGACCGAAGTTACTTAAAATAATTTGTGTTCTAATTACTAAATTTTAATACTTTGATGTAAAAAGAATCAACAAATTTAACTGATTAATATCATAATCAGACCAAGTAAGGCCATTTACTTGATTTAAAGTGATTTAAATATAAACATTTGATAACATATTATAAATTACTGAAGAAAGGTTATAATTCTTAATATTTGTTGAAAAATGTCAAAATAACGTTCCATCACATAGAGAATTTTGATCACAGACTATTTTTGTAAAATGTTTAAGCGGACGCTTACATCTAATAAATTAATGTTAAACTCGTACACTAAAATTATTATTGCCTAAAAGTAAATCAATTTGATATGCATACACAATGTACTGAATAAAAAATTGTGTACCCATTACCTAGTGCAGTGATGTATACAAGATAAATTTTTTAATAATGTGAATCCTAACTATTCATTAACAACCTGATAAACTATACAGTAAATATATAGTACAAAATATGAGTAAATAATGATATAATTAAACCAGAAAAAAAGAATAAATTTTACATAAAGTATTAAAATAAAAAAATAAAATGCTTATATATAAAATATTAACGAATAAATAAGGTTATTGCTTATAGTAAAAAAAAAAAAAAAATGGTATATCATAAGACAAACTTTAAATATGAGCATTAACCATAGAATCAATAGAAAACAATTTGCTAAAAACTTACAAGAATTTCTATTTTTACTTATGGTAGATTAATTCACAAACCATATAAAACATACTACTTTAATATAAAATATTATAGCATTTTTTTTTTAATAAATCTATGTTTAAAGTTCATTTTTAATGCTTACTGTTTAATATTACATATTATCTGCTATTACATTATTAATACTTAAAATTATATAAAGTTTATATTATAAACCTTCAAAATACTATGTTTATGGAATCTTGAATATTTGAATTGAAATACTTATTATTTAAATTTTTGAGATTAAAGTTGAGAACAGAAAAAAAAAAATCAAACTAACAGAAATAAATATTAATGAAAATACTATCATTGGTAAGTAAATGTATGAATTAAACGATTGTGAAATACTTTTTAACCATATAATGTTAATAATTTATAGTTAAATTTTGGAATGTTAAATAAACCATGTCACAAAATAATACATTCAGAATACTATATTAAATGTTTTAACTGTCATCATATAATGAATATTTGGTCATGATTGACTAGTACAAAATCAGTAAAAGCATTAATTGGGCCAATCGCAGCTAAAGATAACTGACTATTTGGACTGCGTACTAAATTTGGACCAAAAACAACTGCTAAATTAGATGAAGTCATTTTATTCAGGTCACATCTATCCATTACCTAAAATAAAAAACCATGAACCATAGTTAATGAGGTATATGAATTTCTAATTATTTAAATTATGGAGTGAAAACAGGTTTAATGTTTATTTTATCAGATTTTTATGCTCTACATAAGACATTTAAATGTACTGATTTCAAACCAGTTTTGACTCCTTAATTTAATAAATGTTGTATAATGCATTTCAATTTGATATCATTAATAATAAACTCAATAAACCAATAAAATATAGCAAATATGAACTAAAAGAAACACTTACTTTTGATAAAAATTGAATGAGGTATTTGAGTAAATGATAGTTATCAAGAGGTAGTTTTTCCAATATCAGAATTTTCACCTGTCTAGGACGTTCGTCTTTGGGGAGTGCTAAAATTAAAAGTATACTTGAACTTATTTTATCTTTTAAAATGTATTATAGGATAAAAATAACAAGATATACAAATTTTCTTATATTTAATAACAATATGAACTTACTTTGAAATTGTGTAATCTCATCAAACAAATCAAATGTCATTAAAGGTTCTTCAAGTTCTCGCAAAAAAGTTTTTAACAAAACAGCTGCAAGATGTACATCATTACCAAAGTCAACAGGTTCACCTAGATTGATACGACTCTGTAAATCTCTTAAATGATTAATGTTTGCAGATCTTCTAAATAATCCTTCAGTTTCTAAGGCTGCATAATTAAAAAATATGATATTAACATTAAAAATTAATATTAAGTAATATATTTTGAAATTACCATCTGGTAGACTTAAGTATTCAACACACTTTTGTACCAATGGAGGAATTATTTCTCCATTGTTGTTTGCTTTAATAAACTGTAATGAAACACCAAATTGTTGAGTTGGTAATGGTTCAGATTTTTGTTCAATTTCCTGTTCAACTATTGAAACTTTTTTTTTATTTAATTTTTTCATTAATTGTTCATCATGACTAAAAAATAATTACAGTTTATGATTATAAGAATATTTTTGCTGTTGAAAATAATTACTCTAAAACTGGCGCTGGAATAATTAATTGATCTAAATCCATGAACAGTTTCAATTCTTGTAAATGGTTAACATACATAATTTTTCGACCAAATTTTGCACTAAAAAAAATAGTTACAAAATAAATATTATTTTCAATTTAATAGATAACATTTATTCCATTTAAGTTCACCTAATAACAGCTCTAAAAAGTTGCCAAACCACTTTGATAAAACCAGTAGGGTGAACTAAATACAAAGCCTTTAGGTTTTTTTTGTATTTTCTATCAAATGCTCGATATGCTTGCCATAGCCATGATAACGTTGGTTTATTTTTACTCGTCAACCCATAATGAAAGTAGACCAAGCTATAGTCTTGTTCTACAAATTTGTCCAAAGTATACATTAGATACCTAAAATATAAAATGTATGTATTTAATTATTATTGAAATTTGATTAATAGCCATAATTTAATTTTTTTTATTAAATGTAAACCTTAGAAGCCTTGGATGATCAACTTCTTTATTGCTTGGTAATTTGCAAGCTGATACAACAATAATCTTACGACCAACTGCATCATCACCTACTACATCAACTACACCACATTCAGCAACATCACTAAAGTCTTCATCTTCTTTAGACTAAAAAAAAAAACAAAAACAAATTTAGTCATCAAATATTCTTAAATACAGCCTCCTACTAATAATTGTCATGAAATGTTTTTAAAAATATTTACATGAAATAAAAGTTTAATCTAATAATTACATTAAAAATTATTTTTTACATTAAATACTTGTAATAATATTATGTATTTACATCATCTGCTTCCAAATCATCCAATAAATTGCCTGTTGCCGTATCATTCACAGAAGTTAAGCCTTCAACTTGAGGAGCATTAACTAATTCTTCTTCAAAATTTTCTTCAATAGTACCATCAGAAACAGGAGATTCCATGTAATCTAATGTTCCAACTGTCCCATTTACATTAGCTAAACTTTTCTCCAAATCTGATAAAAAATAATAATAATAAAGTAAATAAAAAAACATTTTGTTGGTATGAATCATTAAAAATCATTTGTGCACTAATAAAATAAATACAATTTACCAATATCGGCAGTTGGACTTTGAAGTTCCGTATCATCAAATTCTAAGTTTGGCTCATAGTCATGATAATCAGAAAGACTAGGATATGGTTCTTCATTATCAGCCATTGCAACTAAAATATTTAAATAAATTTTAATTGAAAAAAAAATAATAATAAATGAAATAAATAAATTTTACTCAATTTTTTTATTTATTCAGAGTCAAAAATACATGTCACTAGCATTTATTATCATATTGTATATAATATAATAAACACAAAAAATATAAACTTACAGCATTTTTGTAGAATTTAGAATCAATTAATAAATTATTAAGTTTATGAACCAGAATATTACAATACATGGAATTTTTTAGTTTTTTTTTCTTTTTAATAATGGGTTTATGTTTTATTTTATATAATAAAAGCAATCTTTACTAAAGTGCATTTATTTAACAAATTAAGTAATTAGGATATAAATTAAAAATACATAATATAACATATTATATGCTTAAGAAAGTCATGTATTGATATTCAATACACGAGAATGTTAAATCACGTAAATTTACAATAGCTAAATATGATTCCAGTCCTGTTTAAACTTATAAATTTCAAAAAGATAATTTATACTTAGGTTAAATTATAAATATATATATAAAATAATCAACTATAAAAAAAAATTAATTTTAACATCTATTTTCTTGTTATACTTTAAATTAATGAGTAAAAAGAATACTATACTACTAATGTAATGCATCCATTTACTGCTATAACATACTTAAAACAAAGATTTATACATGAGTTACCAGTAGGTACAGTTAATGTCTAAAACATAATTAAATATCAACTTTTGATAATTATCAAGCACTATAAAAAAAATAATAGTTTTGCTTCATTGAAAATATTTGTTATTGTAAAATTTCATAAATAATGTATAATTATAATTATAGTAAGACTGTATCTATCATAGTATAGAAAATTGTTAAAATATCTACTTATTTTAATTAAACTTTGTTTTTTTTTTTTTTTTAATTGAGATCTTTATGATTTAAGAGTATACACTGTAGCATATTTAATGTATATTGTTATATAAATTGATTACTTATATATTTTTTTTTTACTTAAAATTTTACTTAACTCTATTAACTGAATTTTTAACAAAATAAAAAATATGGTCTTACAACACCGGTTTGAAAGCCAGACAGCCATTTATAAATTTTATAATAGATAATGATTTATGAATAAATCATAATATTACAAATTAATCAATATTAATATTACTACCTAGATATTATTGTTCAAGAAAATAACTAATTTGTTGTAGTTTAGCACATAAACCAATTTATCTAATACAATTATTCATAAATAGGTAATTAGCATAATGTATACTCATATTTTTGGTTAATAACACAAATTATATACTAATTTTATAACAGATAATTAGTTAAAATTAAATCTTTCACTCATTACTGTTGATGGCAATGAACTATGTAAAACAATAATGTTAATTGATATCACAATTAATACAAAATTATCTGTAAGTTTAGCAGTAGTTACTTATAAATCATTCTCTAAACTCTAGAAACATTTGGTTTGTATCATGAATAAAGATATCTTAAAATATTATCATAAGATATCTTAATTCTTAATTTACACTAAGTGTAAGCAATTTATTTATAATATAACAGCAAACTCACCTGGGAAGTACTTGCTGGAAGGCTGCACTCTAGGATCCATGTTTGCGACTAGCAATGACAGAGTGATGAGTGCCAGATGCACGGCACAACAGAATTACGTAGGCAACACTAGCTACCCCGATAATGGTTACCTCATTCCGTAAACGCTGTCAGAATCTGCAGACGGAACAACAACACATGCACACACAATTCAATGGCGATTAAGCATTGTGTTTGAAAACAGTATATCACTCAGTGTCGTTGTCAACAATTTGAGATGAACAGCCGTTACTGTATCAACTACCAACGTACGGCTACTTGTTTTGTTGAAGTGTAGAATTCTTTGAATTAGCAAGACGAGTATGAACAGTAATGAATATTAAGTGTAGGTGGTGAAGACAGTTATTGAACATCGGCTCGTCAGCTTGTATTCAACCCGTGACGAAAAATAAATAGAACGGATGGACAACAACAATTATCTTAATTGTTTTCGTAAATATAGATATCGAGTGCACACCATAAACTGCAAAGACTGCAAAGATAATAAAAGACTACAGAAAGTTCAGACTATTTACTACAGACTACAAAGTTGTATAGACAGACGGGCCGATTGCGATGTCCACCGATATATGTAATATAAACATGGAACACCTGTTTTCCGCCATAGCAGTATCCGTAGCCGATAACAGCCCCCCTGTTTTGACAACCATGATAAGTGATAACTGACTACTGACGTTATTGATAACAAAAAGAAAAGGCGACACGTCATATGCATATTGTAGAAACAGCAGGAATAGTAGAAACTCAAGATTCAAGCGATCTGTGAATAGGTATCAGCAGTCAGCCAACCACTAGAAGACAGTGGTGATTGACGAGTGCTTATTGCTGAATCTTACTACTCACTAGTATTCTATTATTTAGCTTACCGACAATTATATTGCTAATTATTATATATAGGAAAAAAAACGAAAATATACAATAAAAAGTTTTGGTAATAAGCAATCGCGAGTTCGCTTCGTTTGTCTTAACTTTTTCGAATTTTAAAGCTTATCTAAATATTATGTTATCTAATACATTAGTTGTGTTATACAAGTGTACTAAATAAAATTCTTTAACTTAATCTGCAGTATGCTATATTTTTAATTTCTTTTTGTTCCTTCAATTGTTTGTATATCTTTTTCAATATTTTGTGATATATTATTTTTTTTACCATGAGTATGAAACATTTAACTAACAAAACCCCGAGAATTCTTCAAGAACTTATGACCCAACAGGATAATTCGGTAAGAACTGCATATTAATTTAGTATTAGTTTAAATTGATGGTTTAAAATTTTTTGTAGAAATGTTTTGAATGCGGCTCTCATAATCCACAATGGGCTTCTGTCTCATATGGTATTTGGATTTGTTTAATGTGTTCAGGAAAACATAGAGGTCTTGGAGTTCACTTGTCGTTTGTCCGATCCATCACCATGGATTCTTGGAAGGATTTAGAGTTGGAAAAAATGAAAGTATGTTAATCTTGTCAATATTTAAAAAATATAATTATATACTTATCTACACTAAATGCATCTTTATCTAAATTCAAATAAAAATATTAAAGAATATGTTAAATATTTAGGTCGGAGGAAATAGAAATGCCTTAGAATTTTTCAAATCTCAACCAGACTGGAATGATTCAATGACTATTGAACAAAAATATAATACTAAAGCTGCAGCACTATATCGAGATAAGGTCAGTTAAATTAATTGTTTGATTTATTGTATATTTAATCATTAATTAATATTGTTTGTTTATCTATAGATTTTAAATTTAGCCAAAGGGGAACAATGGAGCCCTACTACGTCATCAGCTAAAGATTATAATGTAGATCATATGAAAATGTAATTTCAATTTAGTTAACTGATAATAATAATAATTATTATTACAAATAATATTCAATGAATTCTTATTTTTCTCAGGAAGAGTAACCAATCTCAAAAGTATAATTTTAATGAACCATCAAATAATTATAATGAATTGAGTTCTGGCTATCAAAATGATGTTAACATTCCAAATATCAAAGATGAAAAAGAAGCATTTTTTGCTAGAAAGCAATATGAAAATATGACAAAACCTAGGTAAGGAACTATAATTAATAATTGCTTACTAGAAATGTGTTAAAATAATAAGTGATATGTATTATATATAAAGAAAATAATATTTTCTCTTTTCTAATTGTCTAACATAGCAATGTTCCTCCAAACCAAGGTGGACGTTATTCTGGATTTGGCAATACAGTTGAACCACCACCTAGAAGTCAATCTCAAGATCTTCTTGATTCTGCAGTATCATCATTTTCTAGTGTAAGTTATACATTTATAAATTAAATAAATACCATATTGAAATAATTGTTTCCCATAAGCCATTGTACATTTTTTATGCTAAAATTAAGTACTTTTAGTTATTTTAGAGTTAAAAAAAATTATACATGTTGAACTTTATGTTTATTAAAAACCAATAGACAACCATTATTTACTTCTCTACTCTCTTCATATAAAATACTAATAGGCAGTATTGTCTCATGATTAGGTCCTGATAAACTATAATCTATAAGCATTGTGTATACTTAAAAATAATTTATAATTTTAAATTTATTTGTTATTATAATTTTTAAAAAACAGGTATAATTAACAATGTTCTACATACCTTTTTCTTAGAACTTTTACACTTATAAAAAATAATATATCTTATTGCAAAACAAAAAAAAACAATAAACATAAATGACATTAATTAAATAAATTGATATTCAAATAATAGTTAGATGGATTAGATCAACACTGGTGATATGACAATTATAATATTCTACTGTTAAAAATGTTGTTAACTATTACATCATACAAATTATCTATTTTTTTTTTTTAAGTAAACAATATGTAAGAAATATCTTAATGTGTTAGTTTTTTATTTTTAATATTTAATTTAATTAATTATTAAATAATTGATAAAAATAATTATTGTAGGGATGGTCATTATTTTCCTCATCTGCATCAAAATTAGCGTCTCAAGCCACACAAAGTGCCATTAAAATAGGTGGACTAGCCACTCAAAAGGTATCAGATATAACTACTGACATAAGCTCAAAGGTGAGTCGCATGGAATTTTTTCTATAGCATGAATTTTATTAATTTAAATTTAATATTATGGTATTTTAAATTATAAACAAAATTTGATTAGATTGTATGGCATGAGTAAATATTGGGTTGTTACTTTCGTTCTTGTTAATAGTTTTTTTTTTTTTTTATTATTATTTGAGTACTAAATTATATTAAAATATTAAATTTAATTAATCATTATATTTCTAAACATTTTCCAGTCATTATTTTTTTTATTTAAAAAATATATATATATCTTGGTTATTAGTTGTAGTGTTAAAATTTTATGATTTATGTTATGCTTGTTTGTATCTGTATTATTAGATAAAAGAAGGTACATTAATTGATGAAGTATCCAATCAATTTTCCTCTATGACTACAAAGGTAAAGTATTAATTTTGTTAAAATTTATATTTATTATTTACTTAATTTCAAATGTGTTATTTTCTTATTTTTATAATATTGTTTATAATTTAGGTAAACGATTTAAGTCGTAAAGAATGGCAAAATATCACTGGCAGTAATATTCCTACACCACCGAAATCACAGTCAACTAATTTTGTAGCACATTCCACTGAGAACTCTTCCTTAATTTCTGATGGTTCTTCTGGAAATCAAAAGTATGATTAATAATTATCATATTTATTTACAAAGTAGCAAATAATGTATACTGTAAATTCTTCTTATGTTGAATGTTAATATCTCAAATTTCTGTCATATTAAACTAAATTGAAATGTTCTTGAAGTTACCATTATACTAAAATACATTAAAATAAAACTTGGAATCTTAAACTTTTACTGTTCCCTTTAACAGTTGACTTTATTTAAGAGTACATCTAACCTGTATGTATTATGTATGTTCTAGAAACATGCAACTTGTAAAATTTTTGTTTGATAGAACCAATTTTATGTTTTTAATTTATTTCTTACTGTGTTCTAAAAGTGAATTAATATTTGATATATCATGAAATTTATAGGCAAGAAAATTATTTGTGTCTGTGTATATTTGTGAGTGCATAAGATACTATAGAACATGGTCATAATTTATTGACTTAACTTGCAAACAAAAACATAATGCAGAGTCAGTATTTCCCAACTTTTTTATTTTAATAATACAATATTATAATTCAATCTCTGACCATATAGCACTAAAAATAATTACAAAAAAATCTAATGATCTAATAAATTTTAAAATATGTCCTAAAAATATAGAAAATAGAAAAAACAATTAAAATAATAATTACTGAATATATTTTTGTAAAGCTTAAACTTTTTATCATTCAAAAAATTTTAAGAGTGAGTGTTAATAGCTTCTAAAATTAAAGTTAAGTTATTCTCACAAATATAGTTTATTAAAATAAATAATAGTTCATTCCACCTTAAATCATGTTTAATAGGATAAATAAATCATTAATTGTTTACATGTTAAATTTTATTTTCACTAAATCAATCTATTTATTAAAAAAAAAAGCAAATATTAATTGTCATAAATATATGAATTATTAAAACAAATTATGTATCAAAATTAGTATAATATTTAGCTATTTACTATTTATTAATCTAATAAGTTATTTATTTGATTATTTCTTATAAGCCTTTCCATACTTTAAATTAATTTACTCATCATAATTGTTATATATTATACGGAAAATCTTAAAACAAATTAAAGTACATAATATTATAGTTGTAATTTATAAAATAACATTTGTTCAAATTGTCTTGTCATTAAATATTAGTAAAGTGTCCTAATCAAAGATCAGCCTTTAGGAAAATTCCCAATTTCTCAATATACCAATCCACCCTTGATTTTTATATGTTATATAAATATGTAAATTGTATACAGTTTATAGACAATTTTGTTTTATAAAAATATTTATTTTATTTTTATTGATTAAAATTAAATTTACATTTTATCTGATTTGGGAAAAGAAAATAGTTCTTTATCATATAACTGCTTCTTAATATACTATTTTTAAATTATAAATACATTAGGCAATGGCATTTGTCTCATTTTTTTATGTTTTATTTAAGGGTATCAAGAAAAACACATTTCATTTTTATTTATTTAAATAATATCTAATGTAAAATATGTATTTATTTTTTAATAGAAATGTACAGCGTAAAAACAGCTGGACATCTTGGGATGTTAATAATACTCATGCATCGTCCTCGGATCAAACAACTGAAAAATATCAACCAATTCAAGATGAATGGAATAACAAATGGGACAATAATTGGTAGATCTGCATAAAAATTTGTATTAAATTTTTATTTAAAAAAATTTAAAGATATAAATATTTATAAATGTTATTTTTCATTTTAAACATTCAATTATATTGTCTTTGTTTAAAAAAAATTTAAATGTCATTTAGAATATTATATTATATTATATTCTTGATTTGTGCTAAACTGTACAACATTTTGATAAATTCTATTAACCCATGTTTATAAGTCACGTCCATGTTTAAGAGACTGTTAAATATTTGAGGAACTATTAAATTAAAACAAATACTTATACAATCTACTTTTAATATTTTAAATGGAATATTATAAATTTGAATATGTTGTTATTATAGCTAAAGAATTAAAATTAAAATAAATTTAATATTAATTATGTAATGTTATTTTAAATAAACTATTTCTCCGTTTTTAATTACATTATCATTATACTACTAATTTAGTCTTTAATCGAGTAAAAATAGAATAGAGGGGAGATAGACTTAAAAATATTAGGGTGTTACTGATACTTATTACTCTTTATTTATATCTCTAAACTGAACATTAATTAACAAAAAATATATTTATGTATAATGAGAACGTCATATTTGTATGAAGTTTATCTAAAAGTATTTTCCTTAGAAATTATTCTTTAAATATTTGAAAAAAAAATGAACAGCGATTGGCGATATGTCAAAATTGTGCAATGCAAAACAAAAACAGTTATGAATGTCCAAAGTCATTGATATTTATGAAAGTCAATGGTTTGAGTTGGTCAGAGAATAATAACAAATAATGTACTGACAGCCTGTTATAACATCTGCTCTTCAAAAAGATTATTGATTTAGCAAAGAATGAGTGATTGATTTTAAATTCCTGCCACAAAACGTATTCCAAATTCTAGATGCTGAATTCACATCCACACAAATAGGGTAGTATGTGGTAACCTTCTTATCAGTGAATGATAAGAAATAAATCTACTTTGTGATAATAGGTATTTCATGATTTGTTTTATGAATTATAATAATATCATACCGGGTGAAAAAATCAATTTTTTAAGATATTTCAATTTTGCACATTATTGTTGCAATTTATTTTAATTTGTTCGTTTCAATACTAGCATTAGAAAATAAATAATACTATAATTAATAATAAACATCGACCAACACTTAAAATTATAATGGAAAACGCAAGTGCAAATGTGACTGACACTAATATGGATTTTGATGCTTCTCAACTGGCCAGTGTAAGTTTAAAATTTTGTAACAAAAATATTTAATTTATTAACTGCTTAACGTTTAATCATTTAAATCTATATATATATATTCTGACCTATAATTATTTAGTTTTAAACAGCTGTCTATATATTGTATTTTTGCAGATATTAAAATACACGTGTACCTACTTAAAATATTTTATATTTCATATGAATATAATATTTAATATTTCACACTCTTAACAACTGTACTATATGTACGATTTTTCTTAGTTAGGAAGTGTTTGACAGAGATAAGTGGAAGAACATAATAGAAGTGACAATGGTCCTAAACAGGCTATTACAAGTCTAAGAACAAAAGTTGGAATTTACATTGTATGTTATCTACAATTTTTTTTTTAATTGATATATACTTTGTCATTGTAAATAACATGTCTATAAATGTTCAATAAAATATTACATTTTGATTAAAATAAAAAATAATTTACTTTTAACAAAATAATTTAATTTGAAAATTAATTCAAATACATACCATTTTTACTAGCTAAATTAAAAATCATATGATATGTTTAAAGTGTAGGCTATAGAGTGTATTATTGATGTTTATAATTATGCAGTTACAACTGTAATGCCAGTCTCCATAGATAACATACAACATGATTAAAGTTAATGTGGATAGCATACAATGCAAGTTCCTAGAAGTTAATGTATTTAAAAATAATATGAAAATTTCTAAAATATACTATGTATACTACATAAATATTAATTAGGAATTCCTTGATTTAAGTTCAATATTATTACATAACCAAAAGCATAAGAATAAATTACCTATGATGTTTTTTATACCTTTATAATAAAATGTTTTCTTAAAAATTATTTTAATATTATTTTTTTTAGGTTAAAGAGATATTTAAGTCGTATAATAAATTAACAGAATTATGTTTTATGGATTGTGCAACAGATTTTACAATAGGTGATCTCAAAAGTGATGAAGTAAGTTCTATTTATTTAAATTATATAATAATATACTAATAAGTGTAATAAAATAATTTAAATATGGAATTTTATCTATAAAATTTATGTTTAATTTAATAACAATGTTGTATTTTAGGTAAGGTGTGCTGAAAATTGTACAAGCAAATTTCTTAAAGCTTCTGAAAGAATGACACAAAGATTTCAAGAGTATCAATTAATTATGAATGAACATGTGATTACTGCTCAACAAAATGCCAACGCATAAAATATTACCATTTATATAGTACATTAAGATTTTAAAAACAGTTTTAAGTTTTAGAATTATGAATATACTTTAAATTTAAAGTTAAATTAATATTTTGAATATTATATTTATCTCCCTAATGTTCTTACATTCCTTACAGGAATAATAGTTAATTTTATTAAAAAAATATATTATAATTTTATATTTGTAAGGTACATCCTATAGATTAAATTGAATGACTTTTAAAGTAACATAAAAGATCAAAAAATGTATTTTCTATTAAAAATTATGAAAAAAGAGTCAATTGTTTTAATCATAAACATGGTTTGAACATTATCTTGTTGACGTTATAAATTGTTTATGATTTACAGCCATGTTTAATTTGATATCAATTACTTTCTTTGATACTAGAAAAAACAAACAATAAATAATAATAATAATAACTAATAGAAAAAAATACTTTGTAAACTTACAATCGTTTAGTTTAAAGATTTGTTAAGATTAAACTAAACTAAATAAAAATTGTAAATAATATTGATGTAAAAATAGCTAATAATAATAATAATAAAAACAGTTATAAATAGGAGATGGATTATTGTTAAATTTTTAAAATGTACTTTTTATTAGCTAATATTCAGTGAAAATACTTTACTTCTACTTTTACGAGTAATTATGCTCTTTTATTTTTATTGTTTAGCACTTAGCCAGTTTCTAACAATCTAAGGCAGGCATTTCAAACTCAAAGTATAAAGTGGGCCAAATATATTGAATAGTTAACTATGCTATATATAAAAATTTAACAAAAAAAATAAATATTTTATATAAAATTATCAATTTTATTATTTATGTTTAAGAACACAGCAGATAAAAATAAAATAAAAAAAGGTTAGCTTATCAGCAGATGAGATAGTATAATAATGTATACCAAATAAACCATTCTTTAAGAATCCAAGATAGTTGTGAAATGGCATTAATATTTTATTATTATTTTTTTTTGTCTATTAATATTAGTAGCCTTGGGCCACAAAAAAATTAGCTGAGGACCATAGGCTGCGTGTTTGACATGCTTGATCTAAGGACTAAAGAGTTAGTGATGAGAAGAACAGTACTCGGAAGAAAAGAAAAAGATATTTTACCCTACAATTTGAGATTATCAAAGTAAATGTAGCTATATACAATTTACATTATAATCAAGTTTATTTTATGCCTCGTTAAAAAAAAAAAATTTAAAAACCTAAAACCCAAAAAATTTGTATGGGTATTCATGCCAAGTGTTGAATGCTGACAACGCACAAGAGGCCAATTCAAAAACTAGCCAAGTGTAGAATGATACAAAATAAAAGAACATTTGTTACTCATGAAAATTAGAGATTGAAGTTTCTCTTCCAATTTCATAGTATCATCCAGATTCCTGGTGATTAGATATTTGATATTTTAATATGAAGTTTTATATTATAAACAATTTTAAATGACTAAATAAATTTGTAAATATTTGAAATTTTCACTAAATTTTTATTCAAATTAATTATTCAAATACATTACCATTTTTACTACACACTATATGATACAATTTTCCAAATAATTTGACATTATTTGAGTTATTCTTAGGTATTTGAAACTTAATTTTTTTTCACTTAGTCAAAAAATTTAAAAATGTTTATAAGGTTTTTTTATAAAAAAAATTGTATATATTGAAAATACTTAATCACAATAATTTCCCGATTTCTATATAGTTGTTACCCGATGTCCTTCCATTTTCTTCCCTTTAGTTTCTTTCCCTCCATCGTGTCTGTTAATACTCCTTTCAATATTATACTTCCCTCAGTTCGCCGTATATAGTCTATCTTATTTCCTATTTCTGTTTTATACTTTTACATTATTGAAAATATGAATTATGAGTTTATCTGTATATATATATTTTCCTAACAACTTTTCTCTCAAATATAAGTCAGTAATTTTTTCTAATTCCTCTCGTCGTTGTTTATGTGGCATGTGGTTCGTCAATATAGATCAGGTGTAGGTAGCATAAATATAGCTATTCTTTTGTTTTTCTTGATAATAGTTTGGATTTATAGAAGTTGTTTAGTGCATAAAGGCATTGATTAGCAGAAGTTAGTGTGATATTGATTTTTCGATGTATATACAATATTTTTGCTATTTAAAGTAGTGGGTAATGGGTATTAAATAGGTACCGAGGTATTTGAAGTTGAACTATTGTAATTACTTACTCAAAGTCATCAAAGATGTTATCTTTTGAAAGTAAGTTATCGTGATCACCTTCTTTTTATTTCACCATCATGTATTTAATTTTTCCGCTGTCGATTGGTAAGCCAATATATTTTTCTATACAAATCATTTTCGCAACAATTCTCTGAATCCTTTCTCGCGGTTTCCCAATAATCATCATGTCGTCTGAATAGTGTATATGTTAGCAAAATATTTCTTTCATCAAGATTTAATGTTTCAGTTTGTAATATCTTCCTTATTATAGGTACTCATGCAACCTCAATGATATTTTGAAAACCTTCAAATTCATCTTATGCTATTGCCTACTTATACCATAAATCTATATCTACACCGTTCTACACGATTAGGCGGTAATATAATAGCTATAATAAATTATATGAATATATATATACGATATACCTTGCTATAATAACAGCAATATTTAGTACAAAGAAGTTTTATAGCAATAAGCAATATCAAAAAAAAAAAAAATATATTATTAAATATTTAATATACATAGTATTTACTATTTAGTAATATATATATATAATGATAAACAGACTTCACTTATATTTCATAATTCTTTTTCGTATGCAATGATTTATCATACAATATAATATATATGTTAAATTATATTAATTTTTTTTTTTTTTTAATTTATATTACAGTAATTTACTCTATGGGGTACACTCGATACAAGTATTCTACAGCAGTGCAGTACCTACGTCCTAGTTAACTAATTTTCCTCTTTTTTTTTTTTTTAAATTAATGTTGATAAAATATATACAATTCAATATTATATATTGTTCTTGCAACAGTTATAAAAAATATCAACAACTCATACATAAATTCTTTTTTTAATAAGGGTTTAAATTTCAAATTTTGAAGAAATTCGTATAACTTGAAACGTCCCAATTATTTTGATAGTTAGCGTTTTTAAAATATAATTGTAATAGGTACAAAGTTCTTAATGAGTTTTATTGAAAGTGGGTTTATTAAAAAGCAGTTAGTTAATAAAACCATTTTATCTAAATTTGAAAATCGTATTTTAATATTGATAAAAATTGGATATAGGTACCTATGTAAGAAATATTAAGATTTTTAATCAAATTAATTTAGATATTTTATAGTACCTAATTCAAAAAATATGAAATAAGTATAAGTGATTTATGTCACATGAACTTATTTAGATACATAGTTTTATGTTACGTCGGAATTTATACTTAGTATCAAATACCAAGTTATAGTGTTATCTTAAATAATAGTATTTATAATAATTTATAGCTAGCCGTATCTGTATCTACAATTAACGGTAGGTAGGTAACTGCGTGTATAATATTAATACAACTTAAATTTTGTAAAAATGTAATCTATTGTAGGTATTATTAAAATATGAAGAAATATAATCACAGTCATCTAGGCTAATATTACTATAAAGACAGTCATCTTTGCTCAATTTTTTTTTTTGTACCACGTTATACCTAAAAGTTCTTTGTTTCATATAGAATTTAATAGAAAAATGAAAACAATTTTAAACCGATGAATTTATATATAACTACTCACTTTTTAACTGCAATCCACAACATGTAACCCAAAATATAAGAAAATATTTAGGGTCAATACCCCTTAAATGTGATCGGTATTCCGAAATAATTGTTTTTGTTTAGACACTGCGATATTGTAAATTAATCGGTAAGTACCTCTAGGTATACCCGGTACACTAAGTCTAATAAACTCTATAAAGCATTTTAATTAAAATATATGACTGTAAGAATTGACTTTGTTTTATCATTCTTCTTAATACAATAGGTACTAATGAAAATTGTTTTCATATTTTAATATTACACTAATTCTACTATGTAATATAATAATGTGACAGACAAATGATTTTGTGTGGGTAATTAAAAAAAGGAACGGTGGAGGTCGTTGCCGTGCAGGATCTCCGCTGCGAATCGGGCGTGATGGTAAAATTATTATGGTGGTGGGAATTTCATCAGAAAGGTATCCGTCTGCTATATAACCCATTTCGATTTATAAAAATATGAATGTTGAACAGTACGTACTATAGTCTACAGTTGAATCTTACAAGTGCCAATCTGAAGATCCGTATTTCATTAATAAACAGTTTTCATTTAACAGAACTTTGATCGAAATGAAGTTTTTAGTGAGTATACCTTCATTAATATTAAATTATTATTAAACCGGTAAATACCTTTAACAAGCTGAATTTAACAATTCATAATCAATAATCATATATCGGCTATTCAACTGTATGTAGATGTATTTTTATATTATGTTACATTATAGGTAATAATGTAGTATTTACCGTTGAATAAAAAAGATAAACTGTTGAAGTCGTCGCTTTACAGGTAGTATGTGTCAAGTGTGTAGTGTACTTTGTTATTGAGTACCTACATTTAGGCTATTGCAATAAATTAATGTTAAATTTGAATTCAATGATAAATTATTGCCTACGATAAAAAATTTTTCAAGGAATGTCTATTTACTAAGAACATTTTGTTAAATATTTAAATTACTACCTACAAGTAATTTATTTTTCTATTAGTAATTCGGTGCCTAAGTTGAATTATTAAAATTTTTCAAAAAATATTACATGTTTGGATATTATATTAATTATTATATTATTATATATTTACATCGTATTATGTTATAAACATTATTATTATATTTTTTAAGTCAGTACTAACGTACCGTATAGCGACGTGAACAGAGAATAAATGGATTAAAATAAGTTAAAATATGTTGATAATCTCATCGTGTATAGTAAATAATAATATATGCAATAACGAAAAGTCGTCTCAAGTACATATGAATAATTTTTTTTTTTTTAATAATAACAAAATAAGTAAACTTAATTGTTATTTTTTTTTTATAAATAATTATAATTATCCTCATTACATAATAAATAAAAATTTTATTTTCAAACTGTTTACAAGTATAAAAATTGAATGTGGGTTTATGTTTAAACATTTTTATTTTATTAGAAAAATTTGAAAGAAATCTTATATTCAAAAACTTTAGGTCATTGTATGCAAATTTCCCATTTCACCTTAATTTTTAGTAGTCTTTTTTCCTATTATTTTTTAAAAATACCAGTTAGATCCAATTTTATATACCATATCTGAAACCATCATAAAAGTCGATAATAAATTATTAAATGTTCAACAAATAGGTAGTGGTTTGTTGCATCTTATCGGTGACAGCGGTGCACTCGGCCCCAACGCACGGATTCGTAACTCCGGTGATCCTGCCCAAAGTGCACGTGGCGTCTCCAGACGTAACAGTGGTCAGACAACCATACGTCGTACAACAAACCGAGCCGGTGTTCAGACACGTTTACTATCCTGCCGACCCGGTGCCGTTTTCGTACGTGCATTCGCATCAAGTGCAAACCTACCATCAACACCCCGTCGTCACGGCTTACCAGACCGCACCTTACGCGCCATCCGTCGGCTACGTCGTTTGAATTTTGGCGTTCAAGTCGACATCACGAAATCCATCGTCATAATATTATACTACGCTGGCATACCACCTAGCTACATATTCACGTACCCGTAAATTATATGATACATCGTCCTTTGATGACGTGTTGCACGACGACAAGGACGACGGAAATAATATTGATTGTACACACATTTTACAAGGAAGATTATCATTAAGTTATCTTGACATCGCGCATAGAATCTGTATTATAATGTCCAATGTATTTACGACAGGTACCGTGATATATACGTGAATAATAAAATGCTAAAACGTTTTTCATTTATATTTTATTTACAAATACAATAACACAACAATAATTTCTCAACATTTTTTTTTCGATTGACGGAAGAACTAAAATAATAATAAAATTAGAATATAATAATAATAATAATAATAATATTTTTTTATATTGTGCGGTGGGCCTAATTTAAATATGTATATAAATATATGTATATAATATATGCTATGTATATACACACACATAAATTTACATTATATACGTATATATATATATATTTATTTTTTAGTTGAGTAGGTAATAAACATTATAATGAAATAAAATGTTCGATTAATTCTTATAATAATTTAATGATAACGATTGTACTAAATTGAAAACATAACCGGGTGGTTTTTTTTTAATTTAAAAACTTATTCTAAAATTTCTAAGGTATCTACATGAGCACGACATTTTTCCGTATTTTAATAATAATGATTATAAGATAACCTAATAGTACTTAAAAATATGTATATAATTGTTATTTTTTCAAACATATTTTACGATTTATGTTAGGTACTTGTGTGGCACACAAGATGACATAGTTTACGGTTGTCAATTTTAATTTTTCCAAAAGAACTAAAACTATTTTAATGATACTACATTAGGTTGTTTATCGTTAATATTAGACATTATTTTCAACAATAGTTTCAATGATTTCATTAGGGAATTTCGAACATGAACAAATACAAGACTAGATTTTTAGGGAACATATTATTTTTTAATGTAAGCTTTCAAATGTAATCTGCAAATAATTGAAACCGTTTTCCTAGACCACTTCAATACATCTAATGAATATAATTAATTAGATTTTATTTCACAGTTCGTCGTCGTTACACAATAACAATTTATTGTCGTTTACGCGTTGACTATTATATATAATATTATTTATTCTCAAAATGTCCATTGTACATATTAAGCATAAAAATAATCATTATTTACTTATCCTATGTGCTCAAACAAAGTAAATGATTCGTGGTTATGTATTCTGTAGTTAGAGGAGTTCTACATCTTTTTAAGTTCAAATATCACTAATGAGATCAAATGGAGAAATGTTAACAATTCATAATAAAATCTATTGAAATTTGAAAGAAGAAAATAATTTAAATGAAATTGAGCTTTGAGCTTTTAATATGTACGATTTGTAATATAACCTTAAGTTGGTGCATAATCATTAAAACCGACATGGTCTATATATCATATATATTCAAATATTTAATATATATAAGTCAACGTAACGTGGATAAATTTCATAATGCGTATCCCAAATGTATGGTGTCTAATAACAGTATTAGTAAAGGTGGTTAAAAGAATAATTTACCATGGTCGTTGTATCGACGTTTGTATTTTAATTACCGATAATAATAAACAGCCAAAATCCGGTATATTTTAGTTTATAATTGTGACAAAATTTTTCAGTTTCGTTTTAATTATTATTTACACGAAACAAAAGACTGTAATAAATTCTAATTTTATTTAATAAATAAAGTAGGAACATACCAATAAGGTAATGAGAATTTAAGAAATAATCTAACTTGATCATAAACATAATTTCTTCGACCCTCAGCCGGCAGATCCTTTCCATACCATTGGTAACAAGGACCTCATAGAAATCCCCAATTAGATTTTTAAAAACAACTCCTAAGAGTCGATGAGAGCTATCACGTTCCTTATTAATTGGGTATTTTTATGCATGAACATTTTTTGTTTTATGAATGATTGTCCCGCGTTTTTATTTATTTTTTATCTTTCTTTTCTCCTTTTCTCACCATTGTCCTTGTTTCAAACTGCTCCTGATTCGATCTTTTTTTTCGTGGTAAAGTTGACGATTCTCCCAATTCTCTGGGCTTCCACACTGGAGAACCTGTGAAGTAATACAAATAAAATTACCATCATCAATATCTCTAGACTAATAAATTTAAACAAATCATAACACCTAACATATTTAATACAACCTATAAACAATAAGATATTAACACTATTCATTTATATATGTTTTAGAATTTGTTTGCCTGGTGGAGTGAACTCTACCGTCATCCCCTCTTATGTTAATTTCATGAGTTCACTCTACCATAGTATGCGACCCATGCCTTGGCTAACGTTATAACGGGTCTAACCTATTCTCAGTGGGTAGCGCGATTTTTAGTAATCCTGGTGCAGATCCGTCTTACCGAGGTCCTGCACCTGAGGTGGTTGATAATTTTCTGGTTGTTGTGATCTTTCCACCAGTCTGGCTGCTTGGCTTCCAGTACTACTTGCTGATAATGTAGATGTGGTACTAAGCATTAAGTAGTTAGGTGTTTTTCCCAAACTACCATGCATTGGAAATCCTTTAGATGGTCCAGGTTGACTATTGCTATCGTCTTCACCTTCGGATTTTTGTTCGTCTACTTTTCGTTCTTCTAAAAACAATTCAATATATTATCAATTATTATCTATTATGAAATATAATATAATATTTTACAATATTATTTAATAATATAATTGTGCTGTTCATTAAAATAAATATAATTAATAAATTTTTTTTTTTTTATATATACCTCTATTTCTCGATCTATAGTTGGGCAAAATTGTTTGAGTCCCTGCAGTATCCGTTGTAGAATCAGTTGACGATGTTCCTTGATTTCTTAACTCTACTTTAGACAATGTGCTCCCCGAAGAATGTCTTTGAGGTGGTTTTGGAGGTATTTTTTTAGGTTTTCCAAGTGTTTGTGATCCTTGTGCTAAGTTTGAAATATCAGGCGTTTTATGATCTTCTGATGTTAGTTGTAAACCTTGGAATAAATTTCAACATTAATGAATACGTATAAAAATGATTATTAAAATAGTATTTACCTCCAGTATTAATTGTTTGTCTTCCTAATGTTGCAGTATTGCTTACTAGTTGAGCAGGGGAATTAGTAGAAGGTTTGGCAGTAGGAATGTTCATGTTTCGTACACTTTCGCGAATAATTTGGCGTATAGTTTTTAAGAATGCATTTCTGAATTCGGCAGTACTAAATTAATGCATATAATGGTATTAATGAAAAATTGCATTCTAATAAATTAACATTAAATACTAAACACACCTATTGGAAAGGACATAAATCTTTTCTGCCCTTCTGTGCGATTGACTACGTAAATGGATTAGTTCCCATAAGAAATGTGTCTCCATATCTTTAGCAGAACTTGCTCTAACTTGTACTTCAGTTACTGGTATTAAAACTTGATATCTAATTATTTCCATTTCACTTTTACCAGATACACTCTAAAATAAAAGAATAGTAGAGTAAATATTCATAAAAAGCATATTATAATTCATTAATCATTTAAAACTAACCATTAATTTCTTTTTTTGTCTTAAACGTTCTTTACACAAAAAAACTACTGCTGATTTGAACACAAAACACATTGCATGTAGTTCTAGACCTTTTTTTATTTTCCCAAGAAAATCAGATATATTCAACCATTCAACTCCTCCATAGTACAGTAAATCACCCGGAGACAAATCAATAGACTACAAATAAACAGTTTATGTTTTAGCATTAAATATTAGTTTGTTTTAGTATATTAGTAGTAATAACTTACTTGTTTACAAGATTTTTGATGTTGTCTGAATAAATGATCAAAGATTGCTCCATATTCTTCGTGTATCCTTTGCATTTCATTAATATGTTCAGCAACATTTTCCATTCCCTTTAGTGCTTCTAAAATATAAAAACCATAGTTAATAATTAGTTTAAAAAAAAATAAATATAATTTGCATATTTTATAACTAAGGATTTATTTACCAACGAGGTGAAGATGTTGATCTGAATGAGGATCAGTAAGATTCCTTAATTGTTGCAGTAGTAGTGGATATTTTAATATCCTTTGAATAGGTTTAATTAAATAAGATTCTAAAGAACAAGAATGTTGTTGCCGAGGATTTCGGGAGCATAGAAATTCTTGTAAAGCTTGATTGCCTTCATCTAAAAAAAAAAAAAACAAAAAACAATAATTTTAATTTATTTACGAGCTAATCGGTTTTCTTTTAATGCATTATGGTAGTTTCTTACTGGGATTAAGTATTTTTTGAGCTTTTGAATGACTTGCACAGAATGAACTGTACAATTTGAAATGATTGACATAATATAAAAAGGCGCTTCCAATTGAAAAAAGTATATTCTGTAATAAAAATCAAAATATATTAACTTTTAGTATTACATTTGTATTTGTTTATATATTTCTATAATTTTACTTTGAATTGTTCTGGTTGATCAAATTTATGGAAGTTAGGTTCTTGGCACACGGCTTCTTCTAAATTTTGTAAGAATTGGTGTTGAAACTGAACAATTTCTTGGATATTACCAAACAAAACAGCTATTTCTGCTCCAGATAAAAATGTTTCTTGTTTAAGTGGTTCTAAATAATTCTCCAGTAGATTATTTAAGTGCTGTAAACATTTTTATTTTTTTTTTTTATGAAAAATAGAAAATATACAATTTGTGCATTTTGTTAAGTGAGTAAATTTGAATTTTAAATGAAATTAATTTTTATATTTAATATAATATTTAAAAAATGTTAAATATATTAATGTTATCTACCTTAATATATGATTTTTCAGTATCTACAAGTTCAGAAATGACTTTTCTAAGTTTTTCAGCATCCGTTAACTGACGACCAATAGTTATTTGAGGATTTTGTATTGCAGAAATTACGGTTGGGCTAATTCTTCTTGCTGGTTCTGGAGATCTACAAAATCCAGTTACTTCACCAGCACTCTAAAAGCAATAAAATTAGATAATTAAATATAATTCTTATAACTTAAGTCATTTTTATAAATAATAAAACAAACCTTAATTAAATTTTCTATTTCAAAAGAATTTCCTCTAGAAGCAAGTTTTGAATCTTGTGTCATGTTATTAGTTTCTAATTCATAAATACCTTCCCTATCTAATAAATTGTAATAATAAATTTTATGTCAATAGTGTCAAGTGTAATATAAACTTACTCCACCCTGGAGCAGGTACGATTAATCCAGATATCATTTCTTCTGAGATCACTGGTGGATCTGTAGGCGGTGGAGGACATACTAATGATTGAATTATATCATCAGTAGTCTTTGATATAATTCTTGAGCCTGTAGGTAATTGAGGAGGTTCTGTTCTGGATGATCTCATCATCATACTTAGAGAAAGTTCTTCTTGAAGAGCCGATTCCAAGTACATCATATCTAAATCACTTACTATTGCACTATTAATCACCATAATTTCATCGCCTTTAATTAAACCTATAATCAATAAATCGTAATATTTATACTTTAAGTTTCATAGCAAAATATTAATTTTTAATATTTATATCAATTGAAGTTGCATTTGTAAGAATTAAAATAACTGATTACCATTTTGAATAGCAATTCCTTTATCTTCAACTCGACTAACATAACAACAAAGTTCATCTTGTCTTTCAGCATTTTCAATTAATTCTGCTTCTACGGAAAATCCCCACATATGATCTAATGTATTTCTTTCAAGTTCTACTTGATAAAGGATCTTGGCACGAACTTCAACTACTTCGTGAGTATGTAACTAAATAAAAATAAAAAATTGTTAAATACGTAAATAAAATAAAATAAATATAATGTATATCTATTTATTTTCAATAAAATGCTTACATAAGTTTCAATACTATCAGTCCGGTGAGGAACAAAATAATTATGATCTTCCATATCCCTTCTCTTTTTTACCCTGACAAAGTGCTCCATGGGGTTAAGTCCTTTTTTTGAACAAGATAATGCTAAATATTCATCAACCGTCATGCCCTCTCGCAAATGTATTTGTACCGACTATAAAATAAATTCAACTTTAATAAGTACCCGATACAATTATTATACAACCAATGTTATTTTATCATGTAAAAATTCATAGTCAATAATTTAATTGACCAAACAAGAAAACAAACAATTTTTTTACGAAAAATATAAATATTTAAAAATAATTTTGTATTAAATTACTAAAAAAGTTGTTTTAAAAATATATTTCCATTACTTAATTCAAGAGAAATTAATAACTAATAAGTATTTACATTTTTTAATATTATGTTAATTAAGATAAGGATATTCAATATTTAAACATTAAAAATGATTGAATATTCAAATTTAATAAAAGAAAAAATATAAATTAAATAAATTTTAAAATATATTATTTATATAAGTTATACATTTTCAATATTTACTTGATTATCAGGTAAGGACACTTTCACAGTCTTTTCGGGGTCATCTCTTGATGTTGACGATTGTAATGATCTTCTACCTGAACTACTATTTGAACGAGATAAAACTGGAGCTTTTCTTTTGGTTGCACCACGTCCTGCCAAAAGATTGTTGAGCAATGACGGAGACCGAGCGCATATAAATGCATGTAACGAAGATACAGTAAACACTCCTAATTTGTTTAATGTGATTTTTGTGGCTCTGGATACACGCGTTAAAAGAATCTGAAATATTACATAGTTATTCATTTTCATAATATTATTAATTGAATTATAAATTGTATAAATATATATATTATTAATATAATTTATTAAATAAATATTTAAACGATAAATGTAGGTACGAAAAAATAATTAGATAAATAATGCGAAGTATTGAATGTACCTTGGGGTTTGGAAGTTCACCATTTTGTAAACTAGCCATATAACACTTGAGCCGAAATTGTTCACAATGAAGTCTCTCTAAATTCTCTTCCCATGCTAAAATTTGCTTTTTTATTTGTTCTTTAGTATCTGGATCTGTTAGCATTTCTACTTCTACTTCAGCCATGTGTTTGAGTTTTTGATCCTATAGAAAAATAATTTTTATTAATGTTATTATTATCAGGTGTAAACATTATCACATTATCTATACATTATTATTAAAAAAAAAAAGTTATATATTAAAAATTAAAAATATTATACTCATAGGAGTATTATTTTCTTATTTAAAAATTAAAACTAACATACACAAAATACATTTCATTATAAATAAATTACTAAATGCTACTAAACAAAACTTTTAAGTTTATAACCAGTCTAGTTACATAATATAGACATACAGACATACAACTATATAATATAATTTATTATAAATATTAAGTGGTAATATAATATATTCAATGAAAATACTTAAAACATATGTTTATTGTTTATGAAATATTTATGTAACTTTATAACGAATGATAATGCTATGAAGGTCATTTAAAAATATTTAATGTATTTTAATATTCATTCGTCGTAAATACTCAGATAAACGTTCATATCAATCTTGATATGTAATTAGGTAGTACGTAATAAAGTATAAACTAAATATTAAATGTTAAATTATAATTATGTAATTATACCAAAAGCAAAAACAAAAATTAAAATTAATTCAGTAATAAATAAGAACTGATAATCAGGAATATACCGATAACAATATTAATTGGAAGTTCTAGTTATAATATTTAGTTTGGGTTTGAATTTTTAATTGCATAACTAAGAGATATAAATTTCAGTGATATCCTAACATAATCATATATTTATAAACTACTGTTAGCGTGGTATTTACTTATTTAATAAATTTACTTACTATGTGTAATAATTATTAAATACTATTAAATTGTATGTAAAAAAATATATTTTTTATTAAATGTTAAAATACAAATAATATAAAAATATAAAGGCAAAGTATAAATTGTGTAGTGCTATTCTAAGAATTTGAATAATAAAAATTACAATATTGTTTTATTGTATTATTATTGTTTATTATATTAGCAAAGTACGTGTGCACTGTGCACTGCGTACACAAATTTTATCAACTTTGAATAGGTAAATTTAAATCTTTCTATGAAATTAAATAAAAATGTTTTTAAATACAAACCGCATCCACTTGTTTTTCAATTCTGTAAATTTCTTCTTGTAATAAATGAAGTGTTCCTATTTTCCCTCTATGCCTGGCAAATGCTGCCCCACATGCAGAATGTATACTGTTCACCCAATTTTCCAATTCTACTTGACAAGGTGCCTGAAAAAAATACAGTTCTTTTATTCTTTTGATATTAACAAATTAATTTTTTCCGTGAATTTTTGTTGTGATCTGCTTCTTTTTTGAATAATATTTGCTTATATTTTTTAACATACTCTATATACTGTCATATTTTTAGTTGTGAATTTCAAAGTTTGTGAAAATAAACATCTGTGTTTATATAATATAATATTAATATAAAATATTTGCCATTTTTATATTTTGAATAATAAGCATTGTATGTGTGCTAATAGTGAAAAGCCTATAATCTAGGTCAACTTCAATGATCAAATTCTAATCATATCTATATTGGTCTTGTGCAAGTATGATTAAAAAAAAACTTTGTATCTAATTTAAAATAAACATAGAAGATCAGATTAACTAACCAACTGAGTTTCTAAACTTTTGATTACATCGAACAACTATTTAATACTTCCAGAAAATAAATAATTTTTCATCCTGCTAAAATATATATATCATAACATTTACCAATATATAATTCAACACAATTTTTTATTTTTTTTAATTATAATTTAAATAAATACATTTTTGGTCTTAACATACCTGAAATAAATAGGCGTCTCCAAATGCTGTACTTAAACAAAAAATATAATCTCTCTTCGGGTGTTCTGGAATAGGTTGCATGATTGCTCCATCAACAATTATAAGGTGTTTTGGAGCTGCCTCTACACTTCGGCCTTCTCTAGAATCGCATGGATAAAATAGTAATGTAGTACCTTTAAGACACACCCAATATCCTTTCCAGCCTCTTTTTCTAGCAAGTTCAATTTGGTGCTTTTTCCGTAACAACCATTTCTTTACACTCAAAAACCTAAAATAAAAAAAAAAACTAACAGATTAATTTTTAGTTAAATTTTTACAGTTCATCGTAAAATTTAAGTAAAATAATTTTAAATAAAAATCTCCAATGTATTAAATAGTAAGTGTTTTATTTTTTTATATTTCCTGTTAACGTACAATACGTTTTTTTTTTTTTTTAAAGTCTATGACTTTATTATATTTTATTTCTTTATAATATACCTATAAAATATAGTAGTTGCTCTAAATAAAACAAAGGCAGTATAAAGGTAAATGAGTGGCTCTCATTGAGTGAAGGTTACTTAAGACTAAACTGATTTTACCATAACTTGTCAAGATATTCACTACTACAATGTTACAAAACAATTTTAGAAGTGGTGTTGTATAATATTCAAGAGGATATGCTAAGGTGACCATATTTATATAAAAAAAGGGAAAAAGCTCTAAAAGTTGTTTAATAATTTTTATTTTTCAAAGATATTTTGGAGATAACAGTTTATGTGCCTGTTACATGAAATATGATGCTAGAAAAAACTACAATTGTACGGGTTTGTTTATTAACAAAGTAGTACATTAATTATTATGTGTAATACGACAATATTTATATTAAATGCTCATCGTTGACAATAATGCTAATTAGCATTTCTCACTCGTTTTACCAAAATGTTTGTTTATAACTTTTGTTTTGATATAAAACTGTAAAAATATTGTTATTTATTTGTTTTGTATACGGATTTTATCGTTTACGTATATTCAGTTAAATAGAGAAAATGAAACAAAAAAATGTACTGTTTAAAATTTCTCGGAAAAATGAAACAAAATGATAAAAAAAAAGATAAACATGTTTTCAATGAGATGAATCAAAATAGACATATTGTACAAAAGCAAATACAATTCAAGCTCTAGTATTTGATGATTTAATTTTACAGTGTAAAATGGTGTTTTTAAAATTTATTAAATTATTTAAATTTGAATTTATTTTACTTAACATACAATTTATATTTTATGTATTTTTTTTTTAAATTTCAGACATAAAATAAAATTTAATTTAGTTTTTAATTCTGAATAAATTAAACACAGCAAATTAAAGATAAAATACCAAAATTTCTCTATAGTTAATAAAACTCATTAGGTACGCCAAATGTTTAAGTAAAAATATCCCTGTATAAATCTTAAATATTATTTTTTACAAGTTTGTTTTAAAAAACTGATAAGTTGTCATTTTAAGTACCTATAATATTATATATAAATTTAAAACTACATAGCAACGTAGTTTTAGACGCAAAAGTTTACATTTTTATTGCAATATATTGTATATATGTATGTACTAAGTAATCCATAAAAAATAAATATATATAAATATATAGAGAGAGAAAGAAACAAAGGGTGAGAGAGAGAGAGAGAGAGAGAGAGAGAGAGAAAGAAAGAGAGAATGATTAAGAAAGAGAAGGGATTAAGAAACTGAGACATACAATATTCTACACTACATCAGTTTAGTGATTTTGATAGTTAATATTACATGAAATAAATTGAAATCAAACTTTCTGAAATTGACATAATGTATATTATTATGTATATCAATGTATAAGCTCTAAAATGTATGAATTATTACTGTCAACTATTTGTACAATATGTCTTGTAAATAACTAAATGACAACAAACATTACATACATACATTTATAAATGTACATTATATAAAGTACCTATTTGTATGATTACATAAAAAAGAAAAATATTATTTATTATCCACTTTTATACAATAAGATCAACAACAATATCGTATTTTGATAATTAATACTGTATTCATAATAAATAAGCTTTATTATTTTATTATGTGTAAATCAATATATTGATAGATATACTTTATATTTTGTTTATTTTAGGTCCTTATTAATTATTATATTAGTAACTATTAAAAACAAACTTAATATAGTATTTTTTTTTTTTTTTTTGTTAATAATAAGTCTTGTTTTATGGTGACATTAATATTTATCATAGATATTAATTGAAATATTTAAAAAAAAATATCTAGTAAAATTTACACAGATTTAGAAAAAAACTTGATAATTTTATTTCATAAAAATATATACTCAGAAATAAAACAGCTCAAAAATAATGCAAAATGTGCACTAATCTTTGTATACATTTATAAAATTAAATACAAGTAATACTAAATTATTAAATTATATCTGAATTAATACCTACATAAAAACTTTTATTACATAAAATTAAACCTTTTCAAATAAAAATTAAATATAATATATAAACAAGTAGAATGTCATCAAAGAAACAAGAAAATATCTGAAAAAATTATTTACAAACTATGTAACATGCATATTAAGTAAACATGATAACAAAAAAGAAGTATATTGCAAATATAAATTCATATTTAAGTATCCAATAGAAAACTGTATCCAGTAAAATATACTTAATCGGGTATCTGTAAAATGCTACCTAGTTGCTTAGGATGTTCATAACACATAAAATTCCAACCATTTTATTCACCTTATGTAAGTTTGCGAGTCTAGATTAATTATCTTTAACAAAATAAAAATCAATTAAATTAAATTAATAATGATAGTTATCTAATGACATCGATTATTTTCCTTCCATATTTCGTTCCTACGCTGTAATTACATAATAAAAATTATACTTGACATTTTGAGATGAAATAAATGAGGTTAACAATGAAGCTGAAATCAAAGAACGGTCGATACTAATTTATAAGATCCAAAGGTGACACTGATCCTGGATTTTTTGCCTCTTACAAACATGCGACATAGAAAATTTGAATATGAAATGTAGATATTACGTAAAATGATGATATATTAGATATATTATATAACAAGAAAAATTATTACACATTATGACGTATGACAGAAAAAGAAAAAAACATAAAGAACAAATAGCAGAAACTAAGTCTTTTAAAAAAAATATAATGTTATTGATAAATCACTGTCACATAATGATAGATGGCTGTTTTATTATAATTTAAAAATTTAAATAATTTATAAGACTTCAATAATAAAATTAATTTATAAAAAAAATTAAATTAAACTAATAAATAATATATAATTAAATAAAATGTTTTTTAAATAATTAGATAAATATGTAATAAATACTAAACACTTATTTTATATCATCATTAGATCAGATATGAAAAAAAAAAAATTAAAGAAAATGTATTGTAATTATATTATGTTAAGGTATTTTTAGATATACCATTGTAGGTATATTTCTGTGAAGTTATGGTATTAAAATCAGTTAAGCGTGTAATTATGTTTTAAATTTTTTTTAAATCTGTCAATATTTTTAAAGTTTAATAAAAACTGATTTTTAAACTTCATAAAAAAAGCTCATTAAAAAATGTTCGGATTGAATATTTGTGGACTTTTTAAGTGAATTTTCCAAGTTGTCTTAAAATTCATTTTTTACTATTCTACAATGCTTTTAGGCGTAAAATTATTTTTGTACCATTTATTATTTTATTTTGTTAATAGAAATACGATTTTACACGATTTTCTAATTCATTATATTTTATTCAGTTGATAAACTTTTTCTATAAAAGCAATATTATACTTATGAATAAACATTAATTTTTGACTTAAATTCTAAATAAGAATATTAGTTCTAGAGATTTAAGTCATTAACCCAACATTAGGGCGCATGTAAGCAATTTAACTGTGGAAACTTGAAACTATATATTTGGTAGTATTCCAAATGAAAAAAAAAGAAAGAAAAAATGTACCTAATACTTAAAAGCGTCTGTTCTTGCCGAGACTGGCGTCTTATCCGTTATTTATGAACGACGGCACTAAGAAGAAACTGTTTTATTCGTATGACCCCGTTCCATTTCAGGAACTTTATTTCTTTCCTACCCATACAGGTTAGAGCTAGTCCCCAAAAATTTTCCAGACAGTGTATTCTTCTCTATTTTGGTGAAATAAAAATTTAATCACGTAAAAGCAAATTAATTGAATTCAAAACTATAACCTTAGACTGTATTTGGTGATAACATTTTTTTCTTATTATACACAAAAAACTTCAATTTATGATTTATTGTACAATAACTTTAAGTAACCTTAAGCTCACAGGCAATATATTCTATAATCCACAAAAAATGTGTATACATTAAGTTTTGAATAAAGGAGTAATGATAATAATAATTATTTGCTCTATTGCTTTACTTATTGAAAATATACATTTTTTTTGTAGAATTTAATATATCTATTGTATATAATCACTAATTGTTATATTAAGCTTTTATTAAGGTACATTTATTTTGTTCTGAATACTATAGACACATTTTTTTTTATAATTTTTTTTTTTTTTTATTACTGTTTAGAACTAAATATGTTAACAATTTATCATATTAAATAATATTTATTATTTTTATTTATTATTTTTTATTATTAACGTATTGTAAAAATATATGCGAAATAATAAAACATAGATATTCGAAATTATTTCAGTAGGGAGTGAGTATCTTTGCCCTAGCTACTGTTGGTATAAAAGTGCTTTTAAGCTTATGAAAAATAAAAATAAAGCGAATAATATAAAATATATATAAATTATGACTTATTTCCAAACTTTCATTAAAAAAAATAATAATATTACACACTACTTATTTAAAAATATATAATGTTTATTTTTCAATTATTTTTGTCCGGTGTTGACGTCTTTTATATTGTTGATAAGTCTTTATTAGTTTATCAGCCGATAATCGATATATTATAGTATAGTATATTATTTTAATGTTAAATTGAGGTACGATGTATGAATATACGATAGTATAATTTAACTTTTCAATTTTTCAAATATACATTTTTTTTACTAAATTTAAATAAACAGATTTTTAATTTTAGTTTAAGCATAATATTTACATGTTCTATAATATATATATGGAGACAATAATTTCAGTAAAAATAAACCTTTTAATTTGTATTCAAATATTTTGTTTTATGTTAACACTCAGCATACCACATAGCTTAATTTATATAAAGGCACTGCATTTTTATTAGCCCCGGGCGCGATAATTGTCCTAGATCCGGCATTGATCGTAGTTTTGATGTTAATTTTAAGTCATATTATTTAATATATTAAAAGTTTAAGTTACTAAAGTTTTTTTAGTTATAATAATTTATATTTAATTTTAAATTCGTACTGCATATTCTCAACGTGTTTAAAGTTATTAACATAAACTATATAGACTAGTTAAACATTTTCCACTTATTAAAATTGTTTAGTGTATAAATAAAAATATACTATTGTAGCATAATAAAAATAAATCATAAATTTATATAGTAATTATCATATTTAGAAAAATTAGTTTAAGTTCTAATATTTTACATGAGTTACATGTGTGCTTTAAAAAAATATTATTTAAAATAATTGTTTATATTTCATTATTATAGAAATGCAAAATTTGAAATTTAAATGAACAAATATTGAAATATGTTAATTTGTCTATGTACCTATATTATTTTATGCAATGTACATCATTATTAATTCAAAATAGTCTATTTAAAATAATGTGATTCTGTATTTAATAGCTGTTAAATACATTTAAAATAGAAATATCATTATTTTTCTCTGAAATATGAATAGTTGAACAGTAACAACAGTTATACATATATATTATATTTTATAAGTATCTATAAAATATCTATATGGTGTTTACATTTTTCAAAAGGATCTCGAGGAACTTAGCAGGTACATTCAAATAATTGTAATGAAATTTAATAATGGTCTTTGTTAAGCAATAATATAAATCAATACAAAATGTAATGTTTAACATGATTACAATAATTTAGTTTAACCATAAAAGTAATACTAAAATATGTTTAATACCTCCTTGCTGTGTACAGGTATATTGCGTTTTATTTAAAATTTTAAATGTGACAGAAAAACTTGAAAATATGATTTTTCAGCCAGAATATGTATTTGAATGCTAAATTAATATACTGACGAAAATAAATCATACTCTTAGTCCTTATAGCTTAGACATAATTTACTTTATAGTAATAATTTACAAGTTTTCCCCAAATACTCAACAATATACATTTTAAGGTTTATAGAAAAATTAAAACTGTTTAATATTAAATAATATCATATAACGATTAAGCATGAAGTAAATAGCTATGATTAGTAGGTTCTTAAATTAGTTTATCAAAAATGTTATTTATGATTGGTCTTTAGACACCCATGTCGATTTTCTAATAATTCAAATTTTAATTGAATGTGAACTAACGCATAAAAATAATATTAATTTTATTAATATTATTATAATATTTTTTATGTTAATAATCTAGAATAATAAAAATTGTACAACTATTAAGAAAATAGTTTACTAAATAGTTAAATTTGTTATCGTATAGTATAAAAGTATTATTATAATTTATTTTATAAAAAACATTTTTAAAAGTGTGATCATAAAAAAATAAAAAAATATTAAGTATTCTTTATCATAAAAGATTATACATAATAATAATTGAATTTAATAATAAATATTAAAAAATACTATACTACATTATTGATGTAATTTTTATTTTTTTCAATGAAAATTAACCTTTTTTACTGTAAATTTTTAATAAAATGATTTATGATTATATTATAAGTAATTAACATATTCTAAATTACAATTTAAAACAGTATTTTTTGAGTTCCTTAGGTCTATGATAATGAATTTCGAAGATATAGAAGCCATTATGATTTGAAAATTTAATAATTGATATTTATTTTTTTAAATGTGATAATTTGTAAATATTAATTAAGTAAAATAAATACTAGAATTTTGTTTAAGATAAATAAACATTTAAAATAAAATAATTTGTTCAACAATTTATAGAAAAAAGGTTGGTTCTTATTTGAAAAAAGTAGTTAAAATTATCGCAGAATATTCCTTAAATATTATATAAAATTGATAAAGTTAAAAATGTGGTTTATAAGTATATTTAAAACTTTAAAATTTTAATAAATTAATAATTAAAGCATAAAATAGGGCGTGTAAAATTAGTGTACGACCTTGTACTCTTAAATGCAATTACTCATTAGTTTTTTTTTAAATATAAAAGAAATAATGGAAAACTCATATTATCTAGTTTCTTTAAAAACTATAAAAGTTTAAAAAGTACTATAATAAATAAAATATGTAGGATATTTAGAAAAATTATGCGATTCTATTGATACTCTACTACAAAACAGCTCGTATAATAGAAAACTTCATAACAAAAATAACAATTTGGTTAAAAACTAAAAATTTTCCAGAATTTAAATTCGAAATCCAAACAGAACTTACTATGTTTAATAGCTAATTAGGAATTATTTATTTTATTGATTAAATTTTTACACATAATACAACATAGAATATCTGCAGTTATATCTATATTATATGACTATAAATATAATATAAATAAACCTAAAGTATTTTAATAATTATACGGCAAATAGTTGGTTTTATTTGTATAATGTACCTATTTCATCATCATACAATATTATTTATACAATGATGGAACTAACCGGTGAGGCTAGATAAGCATCTAGTTTATGTTTACTAAGATGTGATTTTAATCTCAAAAAATAACTAAAGAAACAATATTTTTTTAATATATATATATTATATTTACTTACCCTGCTTTTCTGACAGCTCCCGTGCAATTAAACGAGGCAGCTGCTGTCCCTGTTTGTTTACCCCGGTATGGTGAATTTTGAGTGCTTTCTGCATCGTCTTCGTCGCTGATAGCGGTTGTCAAAGACATACGATCATCGTCTGATATCTGCGAAAAGCAATTAAAATTAAATTAAATGATTAATGGGTAGGTATAAAAAATACATTTTTTAGTTTAATTGAAAATTATTGAATGGTGTTTAACTAATGTATTCAGAATAACTTCAAGAATAAAAAAGATATTTTAAAAAGCAAAAATGTATAGGTACAATAAATTATTTAAACGTATTTTAAGTAACTTATAACGTATATTATTCATAAAATAAATACAATTTTATGCTCAGTAGTGGTCAAATTAAATTAAATTTTCAGTTTATTGATATGTTTAACAAATACCACTAACTACTGCCTAGACGTGCTTTGATACTTACATTTTAAAAGTAACTCTATCTAGTACATAGGTATATTATATCTATATATTAAATAATTATAACCAGGTTCAATTGAAAACAAATCCAATAAAGGGAATTGATGTGTTCTAAATATTTACAATTAATAATATAGTTTAAAAAATTGTTATTCGTTTACGATGATTGAAACATATTAAAATATATCCATGTACTGATACTTGAAAAAATATTTTATACAAATAACTGTAAAATACGTTTTTTAGATTTAAATTGCTTATAAAAAATTTTTAAAGATAAAGGTATTCAACAATAATGATATGTTATTAATATAAATTGTAAGAAGTTTGCATAACAAAAATAAAACTAAATATTTAAGACATTTTGTTTAAAATATTCATTAATACTATCACAATAATTATCATTATTTTTGTTTGTTGTATACTATGTTTTATAATTTACTATAAATAATAATTATATATTATAAATTTAATGAAATAATATTATCATGATTTTTGAGATCACAGTTTAAACTTATAAAAAACTATCAAAGAAAAATTTCCCAACTTTTAAAATTTAGTTATTGGAATAGCTTCATATAATTCAATACTAATAACATTAAAGGTACTAATGTAAATACTACAATTACATTTCAATATTTATTTTAATTAAGATATAAAATAAATTACAAATTTTCAACATCGAAATATCTTATAATAAGATCAAAACTTATTTATATTAAGATTAAAAATATTTTAGAAACTATAAAACAAAATTTTTTCGTAATAAACATTTATCAGATTTTTAGAAAATTAGAAAACCAAAAATTCCAATTTAATTGAAATCAAAAATTTCCTTGTTTACTGAGTACTATATTGATTCAAGTTCGAATAAATAAATAGATGAAACTTTTAATGTATAAGCTTACTCATGGATAGATATAAAACTAACATGCCGGATAAAATACAAAGACACCAGGAATTGGAAACTAATCTCGCTTCGTTTATTAATTCAATAGCGTGTTGTTATACCAAATTCAAAAGAAATGATGAATCATTGAAATCGAAAAAAGATTCTAAGAAATAGCACAGTTAAAATAATTTCTACTAATATTTCTTCAAAATTGTTCAGTATTTGTTCATACACTCAGAAAAATTACAAAGATAAATCGAAAAATAATCTATTAAAGTTTCATCTACATGTTATTTCCTACATATAAACTACTATGTATGTGCAACTTTATAAGCACTCTTTCTACCCTAAAAATTAAAGACAGAAAAATAAAATCTAATAAAAATAAATCATTGTAAGAACAATATCATTTTTCTACCATATATTTGAAAATTGAAATTAAACAAAACGGGTCTCTTATTCTATTTCAATAAACTCATAATGCAATTTATAATAATATTATATTACACTTAAGAACAATAATGAAAGTTCTCAGCGTTTCGTTTTTATTTATTTCTTTTGAAAATGTTAGTAAAAACTCAATTTAAACTTTAATTTTTTTACTGAAAAGAACTATTGAAATAAATTGATACTACCTACGACTTATAATTTTAGAAACTCATTGTAGTCTTATTTTTTTTTATTCAGTGATTTGTTTTTAATGATCAAATAGGTAGATTAAAAATTAATTTTTATTCTTTTGTATAATCTATACAAGTAAAAATTAAAAGTAAACGGTTCCATATTTAATCGTAACATTTAAATTTAAAATAACAAATATTAAAAGTAGAAGCTATTTTTTTCATTATTGTTCTGAGATAATTGTTAATTAAGTTATATAAGAAAAAAATTACGATCTTTTAGATTTTTAGAGGAGCGTTGTTGGTTCAACAATGAAGATTATTTTTTTATGTGTCTAAAAATACTTTTTACAATAGAAAAGTTCTTCAATATTTAATATTGAAGTTTTTGATTTCTGGTCTAATTTATAATTTGGGAGTGAAAAGTAATACATTTAATGTTCTATTTTAAATCATTGAAGTAAAAAAAAAAAAATAATGATAAACATGAATATTTGTCAATACCGACATTATACAAAATCAATTTTATTTTTTGACATAATTCAGAAATGAATAACAGTAGAGACTTGATATTTTCACCAAATATTTGTATGAACATTTTTTAGATACGAATTACTTTTAAAATTATGTTTACTTTTATTGAGCTGTTTATAGTCATATACAATTTTCAAGTTAATTCGATTTATTGTGATAACATTTTTTTTCCTACTCAAAAAATCTGAACATTTAATACATGGTTTCTCTTCAGTACTCAGTTTTTTTACTTTTTTAAATTACATACCAAGACATTTTAAAAACACTGTCATTATTTTTTAAAAGAGTTAGAAATGTTAACACACTTTTTTCGAATCTCTGCTTAATAATATTTATTTTTATCGGTAACAGCCTTTTTTAAAATAATTTTTTTATCATATATATTAAAAAAATTGAGTTATAACTTACTTGAAGAGCATCATATAACATTTATATATTTATATGGATATTAATATTATGACTTATATATTGTACGTAATCATGATAAATCATTGTAAACTTGTTAAAAATGGAGATATTTAATTTATTTTTTAAATAATCCCAAAGAATTAAGGCTTTTCTTATATTTTCATTATAATGTTTAATATTGCCAAGATTATTTGAAAATTTATTAGAATCAGTATTATATATTTAAAACAGAGTTCTTTTGAACATATTATTAATGATTAACGTGGTTTTTATAAGTCGATATTGATTAATAATAGTCTTATTACATACGATTCTAATTAATGTGGTTTCTAATGATCAATGATTATTGTTGGTCGTACTCAGCAAGCTAAAAATTTCAATACCTATCAACATTATTTAATGTGGATTTGGGCGTCTCATCTAACTACTTTATTATTACTTAAATTTTGTTAATAAATTAAAAGGTGTGTTTAAATTCTATAAAATTCTAAATTTTGATTATTTTAAACTTTTTACTTCAGTAAATACTCAAGATAACTGCATATTAATTCAGAATGATATTTATATTTTTGAACAGTGGTATTAGTTTACTCCAAATATACTAAGATAGAATATTTTGAAATATATGTAATAAATTTTGACTACACTCTATGACTATTAACAGCCAATCATTATGTCATTTTCATAAAATAAAAGATTTAGGTATCATTCTATCCAAGATCCTATCTTAAAAATCGCATATAAACTTAACTTATGGTATGGCACTAAAAGACCATTAAGATTTATTAAATGCAATTTTTAGAATTCTCATATATTAAATATTTAAAAATGTTAAATTATGCACTAGTCTATTCGTTATTAAAGTTTAAAATTCTGGTCAGGTAGTATATATTTTTTAACAAAATTGAACAAAAAATCTTTAAAAGATTATTTCATTTGAAGTGGATGTTCATGTAGAATTGAGCCACTTGCAAATAAGCTTTCAATAGCTGATGTAAAATGTATGTATAAGTTTATCAATTTATAACTGTCAGATTTATTAAAAAAAAATATGAGGAAAGTCACTTCCTTTAATTCTAATTTATTTTTCTTCCTTATACTTTATACTCGCATATTTATATTACGTGAATAATCCTGTAAATCGTATTAATCTAGTAACACACTTAAAAATTTCGATTTTTGCTATCATTATTTTTAACGGCCATTATAAAACGTACCAATTTATTTATAGTGTATTAGTTATAATAATTAACATTAATTATATATAATTATATATATATAATATATATTAATATATTATATTGTATCATATAATGTATACTTAAAATTTATGTCCTAAAATTATGTACCTTATTTAGTTAGTATTATATAATTTTAAATCGTTAAACTCTGTACTTTTACCCCGAGGAGTGATAATAAATAGACAAATAAATGCAATACATCATCTACAAAACAAAAAATAAACAATTTTAATGATAGTTACTTATTTCTTTTAAGCGTTTATTTTTTTCTCCCAAAACGATAAACCTTCGTATTTTATAAACTATAATTCATTACGAAATTATACGAGGAATTAAACGTGAATTTAATTATCGTACTCCCGTCCGACAGGCGCCATTTGTGTACACACATGAAATACCTATAGACTTACACCACACTTGTTGTAATAATACTAATAACTATATGTACATACGTCACGGTTTCTACACGTATATCAGTATATGTATATAATGTGTACTGTATACATACATGTATAGATTATAGGACAGAATACTACGGGATAGAGGTATTTTCGAGGATTATCGTTTCAATGACTCAGCCACGATATTATGCAAAGTATATATTATGTACTCTTTCCATGTTCTATATTTAGAACTATTCGGATACACGTATATGTATACATATTAATATTATGTTTTCATATGTACCGTTTGGCGTTGTTATATGCATATTTTTTTATAAATTATAATGCAAATTGTCAACATTGCATCGTTATTACTTAACGGTGACTTTTTCACCTCTTATTAGGTCATCGACGAGACAGTATCCTTTTTTCGTAATACTGTTTGCATAAATATTGTGAGAAAAAAATACGGACGACTCGGATGTGGATAAATAAGTCATAATATTAAATATACAGTAAAAAATGTGTAATGCGGATTCTGAATAAAACAGAAAACTATCCAATACGGAATTTTTCTATGGTTCCGACATATTCTTATAGTTTT